GTCGGTTTTTCCACCGATTTTTCTTTTTTTTTTTTGTTAAGTAGATATTGACGAGCTTTAGTGTTATCAAAAAAGGAAAGTTTTGACCGTAATTATTTTTTGTCGAATATATTTAGTTTTTATTAGTCGAAATAGAAGAACTTAATAGAACTAGCGACACACCCTCACTTCGCTCAGGTTCGTCCCTAGCTTGCTTCCTCATACAAACTTTCATCCCCATTTTCACCCCCTTAAGGGATAGTTACCGGGATAAAAAGTATCCTATGTCCTTCCCAGGGTCTCAAACTATCTTCTTACCAAATTTTAACTTTTTTAACTTTTTATCCCAGTAATTATCCCTTACGGGGGTGAAAATGGGGAAGAAAAATTTGTATGGGGAAGCAAATTGTGGTGTGATGTGGTGAGTCGCTAGTATAATATATTTAGAAACTTTTACAAATTCTTAACATATAATAATTAATGTCTTAGTATCTATGCTTACTTAGTAATAACATTTCACATTAATTATTATTTTATGTATGAATATTATTTATTGATTATGTTTTATTGTATTGTTGTTCGATTATCTTGTTTACTAGACACAAGGTAATCTAACAATGGACTCAGGAGATAGGGAGAGGAATTGTTGAATTTGCAACAGTAAATTTTTAGTATTTGATTTATTTGGTATATTTTAACGAGTTCAATAAATATAAAAGAATATGAGAAAAAGTGTTTCTTAAATATAAATATCTCGTGTCACGGTGTTTGTGGTCGCACTCCTCCGAAACGGCTCGACCGATTTTCGTGATAATATTTTTTTTGTACATTTGGTAGATATGTGAATAGGTCGTAAAGTATTTTTGTGTGAACAATATTATAGAAATACATAGAATATGTATATTATACACATAAATATATAGCCGCTGGTTCTGCTAGTATACTTTATTTTTCGACATCTTTCTTAAGCAAGCTTAATACAGAAAGTCTGAAGTACCTATATAATATGCTAATGTAATTTAGTGTAATAAAAATTTACACATTTTATTTGTAACCCAGTTTTTATGACTTTTTCGTGATAAACACTGACTTATCAAGGCCAGTGTCGCTTTAATAAATTATATCATAAAATTGTTGGTAGGTATCGTTTTAATTGACATATGGCTGTAAGTATTAATTAAATCACTTATGTAAATTATACGTCACAACGTTGTTACACTCATCTATAGTGATCTATACATATAATAAAACTGTAACTAAGCCAAATCTGTACACTAAATATTTTTTGGAAAATCTTATTGAAATAGACATTATTATCGATACAGAGGCCGAATCTATAATTTTTTGAATTTTTGTCTGTCTGTCTGTCTGTTACTGCATCACGGAAAAACCACTGGAGGGATTTTGATGAAATTTGGTATGATGATAGCTGGTTATCCGGGTCAATATATAGTCAATATATAACTTTCTACCGCGGGAAAATATCTCTTTTCTGAGAAAAAATACAAAAACTGCAATGTAAGAGTATACTAATATGTAAAACCTAAGAATTTGGTTTTTGGTCATCTGAACGCGGGCAATGCTAGTAGTAACTATAAATAGAAATTGGTTTTTTGAGCATCTTTTTAATAATATATTCGTATATTGATTGAAATTAGACTTCCTGTTCCAAATAAAGGAGAAAAAGACAATAATATATTTATCAACATTATTGTCATTGTTTTACTACTTGCTATTATAACAATATAATAAATTAAATAAATTATTTATAGTGCATGTGCATTTTATTATGAAAATATATTTATTTATTTAATTTTATTTAACAAAAATTAATAACTTTATATTGTAATTTTATCTCAAACTTACGGTCAATGTACACCAAATTCTTAATTACATAACATGATATTTGATTTTAAATGTTACACAGTTCATGAACATACGAGTATAATATAATCTTATTAAAAATATACATAAGTTATAACTTGCAGTAACTTTATCTTTAGAAGATATATCCATACCTATAAAAAAAGCTGTTTCTGATTAAAAGTACCTATTATATATGGAGCTCATAATTATAGCAAATACAATAAAAATATAATGTGGGGTATAAAATAGTATATAAAGGACGATATGGATAATAATAGAGTGGTAATAATGATAGAGATGAAAGTAAACGTACATATAGTGCCTTGTGCCATCCCATGTATATGGGATAAGGTCAAAAAGACGAAGTCTGCTATATCTTATCTTTGTAACAGGAGGATGAAGCCAAGCAAAATCTACTGTACCACCAACTTACTCTCGCTTCGCCTGGATGCGTCCCTCGGTGCTGAACACTGTAGCCTATGTGTTACTCCAAGTCATAGTGTGAATAAATTTCATTCGTATCCGTTTAGTGGTTACAGCGTGAAGTAGTAATAAATATACACTCACGTACACACATATCTACATTTATATTATACATATATAATACACATACTATGTACATTTATATTATAAATACCACAGACAAGATGAATTTCATGACTAATTCCTCGAATTGTTAAGAATTAACTATTTAATTTTAAAATATTATTTTCCTCACTAATAATAATCTAAGGCATTATATAATGTTATTGTAATGACGTTATTATTGTGTTATTCCTACATATATAAAGAATAGGGTTTGTTATTTTATCTTTTAAAATATAACACATGATCGTACTTCAACTGCCTAATTCACAATTTATATTCAATTTAATTTTAAAATTTCGCGTTTATGTTTATATTTTAATTTCGCGCCAAAATATTAAATTCCATCCACACCACCTCGATGTCCAGCGTTCCACAACAGTGCGATTTTTAAGGCAAACTAGCTGCAAGCCCTGCGGTGTTGCAGATGTCCATGGGCGGCGGTGATCACTTTCCATCAGGTAACCCTCCTGCCCGTTTGCCCCCTTAGTCCCATAAAAAAAATTAGTAGTTTTTCGCGATTAAGGAAATAGCATACAAACATATTTTTTAAGTAATTTTCTGTACAACAAACAGGAAAATCTATGATTGTCATCTAATTCTAATTATTCTTCTGAGTATAATTTATGTACATAACTGGCCATTTTGCCCTTACATTGGTCCTTACTTTACTAAATTAACCATACTATAATTTAATAAGCCCGGAGATACGGTTTTGATTCACCTACGTTTAAATCTAAGGCCAAAGTATTTTTAGCCCATTTCAATGTTTATATTTTTTTAATATTAAAACAAACAAAACTGTTAGTGTACAGTATATAAGGTTAAATATATCTAAATCTATATACTATATCTATATAATATGTTAAATATGGAAAGCCCTAACGTTACGGAAAATCAATTATGACTTTATTTATTGACTATTGACTTTATGATTGATAAGAAATTTATAAACAAAATATAAAATAATAATAATGTTGCCTTGACATCGATTATAAAAAATACTGATTATTTATAACTAGCAGAACCCGCGGCTTCGCTCGTGCTAAAACTACAAAAAAATCTCTAAAAGGGTAGTTTCATACAATCTTTCACTGCCTGTTTACCCCCTTATAGGATGAATTTCGAAAAATGCTAAGACACGTATTTTTTCTAATTTTATTAAAGAGCATTAATACCAAGTTTCAAGTAATTCTGATCATAAATAATTTTTTGCATTGTATTATAACGTGTTTTCACGTAGGAATTAGATACTCTCCCGCGGTAAAAAGTAGCCTATGTCACGTATCTCCACACAAAAAATCACGCCAATCGGTTATATCGTTTTGACGTGAAAGAAGGACAAACAAACAAACACACTTTAACATTTATAATATTAGTATGGTATAATAATAGTATGAGTGATGTAGAGACCTTAAATAAATTAAATCGATTTTAATTACCTTAGGGAATAATCAGTGATAACTTGGTATGTTAATTATTGGCACTGTTTACTTAGTGGTCATGAGTGTGGGAAAACACTAACTATATACCTTTTAGAGCAAATAGCGGCGTAAGCAACAATTTAAATATCTTGCGCAGGCGCAGCCTTAGCTTTAAGTATCATACTTAATCACCTCACTATATTTTATCTGTCTATTCAACAACAAAAATATTTCTAGATTACAAATCTTAAATTTCAAATGTCATGACACTAAAAAAACATATAAGCAATACATAAAAACATTTTAAAGATAAAAAAGGCTCTATTCGATAACGTCGTTAAAATATATACGGTGTATTTTGATAATTGCGCTGCACTATAAATCTTTTATATATCCTGAAAAATGATTGATAGAGTAAGGCAATATATCGACTCTACTTACAACTTAGAACACTATTATAAAAAAAAACATTTAACATTACTGTAGGATTCCGCGATTTCGCTCAAACTAACGGGCATTGGTTCTCACCGATTCAAGGTCGACAACATATCGGTTTTAGCGTGGGTAATCGAACTATGCTAGAGCCTAGAGCTATGACAATATTCGCCATGTGCTCTAAGTATACGCGCGTACGCAGTCGTTAGATATTGATACACAAATCGCGAGTTCGCAGAGTGTATTGTAATCGACTACAAAGTACTCGTGTGTGTTTAATTCATCATGTAATTGCCATGAACAGTTGTGCAGACGAATGGATTATAAATTAAATTTAATTTACATGTTTTGAGTGGTTGTTGCGCGTTTTTATAAGGTACGATTTTTATAGTTATAATAAAATGGTTTTTTTATTACGCTTTTAAATATTATAATAAATAATAACAAGTTTTATATATAAGTTATTTTAATTACTTTACTTTATTTAAGTTAGTCAAACAGATTATTTTTTTATATTTTGCATAAACTTAGGCGCTATGCAATATTGTATAAATTAATTTGATTTTCTTATAGATTATCGAAATTATTATTCTATTATTTATATAATTTATTATTGTGCAGATAATAAAGTAGCAATAAATATCAAAGTGAATTAAACTAAAGACTGCACCTATACATATCTTGAGTCAAGACTGCTATAATTATAATAATATGGAGGAGTCGAATCAAGTACAGGCACACAACCTGCTTGGTCTGAAGACACAAACGCCAAAAAGAAAAGACAACGCGCTGACTCGTACACTTCGATCATGTAAGTATTTTTTCTTATCATTTATCTTCCCTCGCCTACCTCGGGTGCGGAACATAGGGTGTCTTTTTTCTTTATAATACTAGCAACTGATCCTGGGTTTACTCGTGTACATACTAAGATGCCGAACAGACTATGAGATACTCCAGTTCTCAATCTATCTTTGTACTAAATTATATCCAAATCCGCCCAGACAATTCAGTGTGTAGGAGTAAAAATCGTCCATTCTATCCATACTTGACCTGTCAACGATCGTCGAGACACCGGTGGCTTGATTAACTATTAATTTCTTAGAAATCATCCTGGAGAAATTAATATTATAAATGTGAAAGTTTGTGAGGATGGATGGATGTTTGTTACTCTTTCACGCAAGAACGACTAAACGGATCTGGATGAAATTTGGCACAGAGATAGATTATAGTCTGGAATAGCACATAGTTTACATATTATCTCAGAAAAATGTACGGTTTCCGTGGGATAGATTTGTTTTTGTTTTTAAGAACGAACCCGAAGCTAAGCCAAGCGCTATTATAATATAATAGCGAAATATTTTGTGTTAACAAATTTTCGCAGTTATAATAGTAGCGTGGTTGATACTACATAGTATATACTTACATATATACCTTTAAACTAATCAAGACAGATATTGATCTATAGCTTTACTATTTTTCTTTGTGGTATAAATAAAAAAAAATATAAAACAGGTATTTTTGTTTATGTATAGCTAAATAGTTATATAATTATATATTACATTCCATTGCAATATTGTGACAGTATGATAATATTTTTATTTTTCCTTATAATCTAGACTTTAGACTCTTAATAATAGCTTATTAGTTTCAAATATTAAGTCCGTCTTTAGCAAAGTAGCCAAGCCAATAATATGTATAATATGAACTAAACGAAGATCTCATAGATCTCAATCATTACTTTATTAGTTTACAGACGTTACATAGGTCCTCTTTTTATATGAGTCCTTGAATAACTATAAAAACACACACTTGGTTTTAAATTTTATTAGTTATTGTTGATGTATAATATTATTAAACCAATTTCTTAGGTTTTACATACTAATAGACTTACATTGCAGTTTTTGTATTTTTTTTCTCAAAAATGAAATATTTTCTCGGACTAAAAAGTGTCCTATATGTTGACCCGGATAACCAGCTATCGCCATACCAAATTTCATTACAATCCCTTCAGTGGTTTTTCTGTTATGCGGTAACAGACAGACATACAGGAAGACAGACAGACAGACAAAAATTCTAAAAACTAGATAGATTCGGCCTCTGTATCGATAATAATGTTTATTTCATTAAGATTTTCCAAAAAAAATATCTAATGTACAGATTCGGCTTAGTTACAATTTTATTATATGTATAGAAGAATAAATGTGATTTATTTCATCACTGTAACTTTGAGCTGTTATAAAAGTGTACGAGTATAAATAATAATTAATCAACGATAACTGAATCAAAACGCTGAATATTGTCATGATATAATAATACGAGTGTAATGAGTGCTATAATGTAAATGATGTCACCATGGGTCACATGTCGTCGTATAAATATGTATAGGTTAAATATAAACTACCATTTTGATTTTAATTCAACTATAATAGCAAGTGTTTGAGCAACCATTTATACATTAAATATATTAAAAAAATGGCATTTAAAAGAACTGAAATGATATTTTTTTCTCTGCCTTTTGAACTACGAGTTTAATTAAATGTTGGTAAAAAGTTTATTTTACTATATTAAACTACTTACTTAATATACTATTAGTATTATTATAAATATTTTTATTAAATAGGAAGATAGGACTCTATGTAGAAGCCAATTAAATGAACCAAAATTTGAAGATTTTACTGGTAGCCAGAAAGTAGGCAGTAGCGTAGATTTCCACTATCAACCTCCTAGCTCCATCGTCAGTTTCGTTCTATCATTTATGGTATGAAATAATTTTGTTATCATTCGTATCTCAAAAACTTACAAATCGTTACGAAATTGAAACTTTAATATCGATGCTATAATACAATTAGAACATTTTCTAAAAAAGGCTAAACGTAATATTTTTAGTACATATTCTTCTTTTTAAATATAAACCATTATTTTTATTAACATTGTTTTTAAGATGTATATTTTTTGTGTAGGTATGTATGTTACGCGATACCTTCGAGTAACATACACTTCTTTGCCGAATTTAATGATTTGTTTTAATGAATAGGAATCAATATCTAAAGTGCCCATATAAATATCAAGAAAATATATTAGATTTTTCAAAGGGATTTTGCACTTATTGTACATTTAGAGCCATGTAGTTTTTATATTAGATACAAATACAGTACAAATATCTGATAATTCTCTTTATTGATTAAAATAACAATTTCTTTATACTATGTATTAGTACATAATATAATAAAATAATATATATAAAATAAATCTATACATATAATAAAATTCTAACTAAGTCAAATCTGTACATTAAATGTTTTTTGGGAAATCTGATTGAAATAGACATTATTATCGATACAGAGGCCGAATCTATAGTTTTTAGAATTTTTGTCTGTCTGTCTGTATTTCTGTCTGTCTGTTACCGCATCATGAGAAAACCACTGGACAGATTTTGATGAAATTTGGTATGATGATAGTTGGTTATCCAGGTCAACATATAGGCTATTTTTTATCGCGGAAAAATATCTCATTTCTGAGAAAAAATACAAAAACACAAAACTGCCTTGTAAGAGTATACTAATATGTAAAACCTAAGAATTAAGTTTTTGGTCATCTTAACGCAGGCGGAGCCGCGGGCAATGCTAGTGATAATATAAAGATAATAAAAATACTATAGCAAAATGGAATTCTCATATCATACAAACTACAAGGTTTCCAATATGCTAGGGTTATTTACTTCCCACGTAAACTTTCTAACAGTTGTTATGCTATCTATATAGGTCAATATGGAGATACATTGATTTAATCACATACACACATAGTCAAGCATAAATAGAAATTTACTTCATACAGTGAATATTTATCGAATTTGCGGTGATTGAGTTGATGACGTTTTGTTGCAACACTGGCAGAATTACTTTAAGTCTATTATTATATACTAACGCCTTACCCTCGCTTGACTCGGGTTCGTATGTAGATATGTTTCAACGGTCAGTATGGAATAGTTTTGTATTTGCCCGTGGGAATGAGATAGTCTCCCGCAGTAAGTAGCCTATGTCACTCTCCAGCCCTTCAACTATCTCCACACAAAAGTTCACGCCAATCGTCAATATGTTTCGACGTGAAAAAACGACAGAAAACAAACAAACAAACAAATATACTTTCACATTAATTATAATATTAGCATGGACTACCGACTTACCCTCGCTCGGGCGCATCGCTAGGTACGTTTTAAATATAAATAAATAGTTATCGCAAGTGTACCTTAGGAGATAGACATATGCTTGATATTGCAGACTTTTATGTAGACTTTGTTAAGACCTACATTTTTCTAGTATATTGTTTTGATATATCTTTTAAGGTTTAGACAGCGTTTGCCATATTTTCTAAGAACAACTCGATAGAGCCAGTTATTGTGTTTTCACGTGGGAATGAATGGTTTTCCTGTAGTAAAATGTATCCTAAATGTTGATTAGAGTAATAAGTTATCATTACACAGTTAATACCGGTTCAGTACTTATTGCATGAAACGCTCACATACGTATAGACATACAGCCAAACAGAAAAAAATAGTAATATCTATTGTTTTGAGATTTATAATCTGTACACGATACGTTACAGTCATTGTTTTTAACTGCCTTGGTAGTCTAGTGGCTAGCATAGACGGCCACAGATCCGAAAGTTCTGGGTTTGACTTTCGGGTCGGGCCAAGCTCAGTTATTGAGTATTTCTGTCAAGAATTCTCAGTATCAGCCCGGAGTTGGGAAGTTGGCGGTGTTTCACCCCCGTGCCTCGGAGAGCACGTAAAGCCGTCGGTCCTGCGCCTTAACTCTCACCGGTCGTGTCGAGTAGTCGTCCCACCGGAGTATGAGAGTGACAAGAATAGAGAATGCACTTGTGTTTGCTTGTGCACTAAAATATCTCTCACGAAGATGGCTAGTCTCAATTCTCATTGAGTGGCCGTGGCCGAAATCGGTCGGCAGGACTATTATATTATTTTTAAAAAATATTTCATGTACTGTTTTCGCTAATGAACTATTTCATTATATGTATAGATTTGTCTCATTATTTTTTAAATGCGAAATTAATTTAGGGTACCATAATATTATTCATAATATTATACTTTATTATATAAACACAGTTTTATGTATTTCGGTTTAGTATTTAAAGTTCAAAGAATGTAAATAGCCATGAATTGATTGAAATATTCGATTTGACGATATCAGTTTCAATTTCAATAATTTCTTAAAAATCATTAGTTAAAAAGATATGATAAGTATATTAATTAAAATAAATATTCATGACTTGATGACCTTCGCCTGTAAAACCGTTTTACTAATATACATTTTCCCACGCGAAAAAATTATCTTTCCCAGCTAGATTAAGTAACTTTTAATAATAATATGTACACAAAAGTAAAGAAAATGATATGACGTAATTTTTTTAAATACTGTTTAAATATTAAATTTAATTTAATATAAAATAATTCAATTATAAAGTCATATAAATACTTTTTTTTAGTCGAAACATATTGTTTGAGACCCATTACGTGTATAATTTCGGAGTCAATAAAATATAAACGAAAGTGTGGGAGCAAACTATATGTCAATGTTTTAAGCATTATTATCAATGATTGATCTTATCGCACTTCCTGTCTATGTCGCTTAAAAAAATCTAAATAAGATGATTTAAAAAAAAAAGAATTGGACACGTTTAACTTGCCGTATAATTAACTTATCCATTTTGATGAAAATTTATCTGATTATACAAGATATTGCCTATTTCTTTATTAAATAAATAATTTTATAGCTTATTGTATTAGTAACAAACTTCACTGGTGCCAGCAGCACAGTGGTGTGAGTATTTAATCAACATTGCAATTCGCGTCCCTAGATCAGTTTTTGCGTAAGGATTTTTTTATTTTTATTATTCTTATATAATTCTCTATATTCTAAAGGTAAATATGTACATATTTTGCGTATCGAAATATATTAATTAGACTAGCAGAACCCGCGGCCTTCGCCCGCGATCAAATTACGAAAAAAATAAACTTTTTCGCTACACATACTATAATATATTATCTGCAAAAATAAGTTCGTGTAACTTTTATTATTTCTTAAAGATATGTATATGGAAAACAAAAATTTTAGGGATCGTAACTCAAAGTATCCGGTATCTTAAAAGATGTTAAACATAGGTATATATATACACATTCTGTAAATAAATTTTCATTTTAGCTATTTAGTAAGCTCCACTACCTGTATTTTTTACACATTTTTCTGTTCCATCTTTCCAAAATTAGTGGAATAGAGTACAATGATACAATCGCATACAATGTTTATGACTTTAGAATCATGTAACAAGGCTAATGTGGGTTTTTTAATTAACATACTAATAGGCTAATCTATCTACGTTATTTAAAAAAAAAACCCAATTCTATGTGCACCTGAAGCTTACAGTCTGCCTCTTTCTCCTTCTTTTTTAAATTAGATATATACAGCACCATTCTTATTTTGCTATAGCTTTTTGCCCGCGGCTACGCTCACGTAGACTGAAAAATTTGCTCAATTTTAATTTCCATTGAATTTATATGTTGACATATCGAATTTTTAATATTATATCTAGAGTAAAAGTCTAGATTCACAAATATACCACACTGGTGGATGTTCTGTCTCTTTCTGGTTTCTGCTAAAATGTCAATGAGAAGCTATCGTTCCTTAAGTCTACACCTGCTACATTTCCCGACTGGATTTGTGATATATTAATGATCATTGCAAAGCAAACCTTAAGGAGGAATTACAATAAATTAAATTCAAAGGCGTAGTCAGAAGTTATCAGTGATATTCGAGGTATGAAATCTGATCCCCCCCCCGAGCACATCCAGCAAACACAGCGGCCACTATGATGTTTAATGAATTAATCACAGTCTAATCCCGTTACATAGCTTAGATGACTTAATCATTACAGTAGTGCCAACCTTCAGAAGGAGGATATAGGTAGCAGGATACTCTCTAGCTAGGTTCTCTCTCGCGAGCTCTAGGTCTGTTATAGGTGTTACTGCTGTAGCCGAGAAGCTATACATAATTTTCCTTCCTTCTTTCCTTTCCTTTAGATCCCCCTTATTTCGAAAAATGCTAAAAGATATATTTATTTAATTGTATTGCATAGTATTAATACCAAGTTTCAAGTAATTCTGATCATAAATATTTTTTTGCCCATATAAACTTTATTGTCCCCTTTTACCCCTTTAAGGGATGAATTTAAAAAGAAACTAATACCTATATTTCTTATTTTTCATCTTAAACCGTAATACCACTGTCCGTGCATTTCGCGTTAAGAAGTTTCATATAATCTTTTATCCCCTATTGTACCCTCTTAGGGGATGTATTTCGAAAAATCCTTTCTCAGCGGATGCCTACATTGTATAAGGAATATTTCCTTCAAATTTCACGTTTCTACGACCAGCGGCTTACCATGATGCTTTTGCACGAGCGTGCGCAATTATCGACCATATTTTGCGCGGAATAATGCGAAAAAAATCGCATGAAAATTCAAAAACACGCGTTTCCTCAGACATGAGACTAATCTAGATCGATTTATCGCCCCCGAAACCCTCTGTATACTGAATTTCATGAAAATCGTTGGAGCCGTTTCCGAGATTCAGATTATTAATTGCTCGTTTAAAGATATAAGATATAGATTTCCTTTGCATCGGTTGGCACCGACTTTGAAAATATGTGATTAGGTGTCCATTCTAAATGAAAACCCCCGTTGAGTTATTTTTTATATTTTAGTGCCTGGAACTCGGTTTTTTAAGTTTTTATTTATTTACTCGAGTAAAAATCTAACCTAACATCTCCCATGTAATATTATGTCATACGATAAATACATATATTTACCAAATTATCCAAATAAATATTGAAAGGATAAAAGTAAGCGTCTTATATGTTTCGCTGTTAAGATAAGCCACAAAATAATTTAGATGTTGGTTTCCGTTTCCTGAAGTACCCTTATTTCTAAATGATGTGAAAATCCTTTCAAAACGAATAAAAAGGATTATTATTCTATTAAATATAATTTATTACTTTATTTTAGGCTGCATAATACCTCAACGCTATATATTAGGTGTAATGGGACTGTTAGGTGTCTGCAACGCATACACAATGAGAGTTTGCCTCAATTTAGCCATTACTCAGATGGTCAACCGGACTAAAAGTGGAGACGAGCATTTTGATCCAAACGCATGTCCTGATGATGTAGTTATTGGAAATGCTACAACCATTTTACGACCAGTAAGTTTTATTTATATTTACTTACATTCTACAATTAAACGTTTTAGTATATATCATACTCGTATATAATTCCAGTAACGCTTTAAATTTACAAATTCTTTTATTCGTCAATGACTTTAGTTTCCATGTTTTTTATTCATGTCGTTTTTATTACATTAGCACGCGATCTTTGACTGGGACGAGAAAACGCAAGGACTTATTCTAAGTGGCTTCTACTATGGTTACGCTGCAACTCAAGTCCCTGGAGGCTATTTAGCTGAGAAATTCGGAGGTAAATGGACGCTCGGAATCGGTCTACTTAGCACTGCCCTCTTTACGTTCCTCACACCTATTGTTATCAGAGCGGGAGGCGCTGTTTGGCTCTTCATTTTGCGAGTACTGCAGGGAATGGGAGAGGTAAATAAGATTTTATAACAGGGCTTACAGTAATTACTGAGGCGAGAGAAGGTAGAAAAAATTTGAACATTGAACTGTGTATGAAATAATTTGTTTTAAGGTATTTTTAGTATTTATCTTATTAAAAGGTAGATTATTTTTAAATGTATATAAATAAAAAACAATTATTTGGAAATGATTTCTTGTTACTGACATTAATTTTCACTAACAGGGACCAACAATGCCAGCGCTGATGATTATGCTGGCAAGATGGGTACCGCCACATGAGCGGTCGTTCCAAGGTGCTCTTGTATTTGGAGGAGCTCAAATTGGAAATATTTTTGGTTCTTTCATGTCTGGAGTTCTACTATCTGAAGGTCGCGACTGGGCGTATGTATTTTATTTCTTCGGTGGATTCGGCCTTTTGTGGTTTACGTTGTGGGTAAGTTTAACAGCAAACATGCAATATATTTATTACAAAACATTGTTTTAATATGTAGGTACATATGCTCTACCATGCTATATTATTTCTAAGACTATATTATTTCTAAACCTAAAATTTTAAATAAAACTATTCGGATTTCTTTTGATTTTTGGTCCCCGACGTTTCGAATGCTTTAAAGTTTACAGCAATCATATATTCGAAAAGATATTCTTATTGAAAATGTCAAGTAAATCTAAGAAAGTATTATGAAAACTAACATTTTTATTTTTACTGAAGTTTCATAAATATAGGATAGTTATTAGATAACCAAATTATGTTAAGTTAGAAATCTAATCATATATTTTAATATTTTTAGAGTCTCCTCTGCTACAGTACTCCAAACACTCATCCGTATATATCAAAGAAGGAACTCAATTATCTCAATAAGAATGTTACTACTGCTGAGAATAGCAGCTCCAAAGACCCTGTGCCATGGAAAGCGTTATTACGATCTGCGTCAGTATGGGCTCTCGTATGGGCAGCTGTGAGTTGATATTTTACATTTTACTAAATATGTAGAACTCACAAATTGGGGTATTGTGGATTCCGTGAGATTGATGTTGTTAAACAAATTAAAAGTCATGGTTTTAGTAACCTTATGATAGGTCTGCGGGTTTAGATAAAAGGAAAAGGGAAGGCTTACACTAATCTATATCTATCTTTACTATAATAAAGCAGTAGCTTGTAAAATCTGTACATGAGATATTTTTTTTAAAAACAATAACTGTAACTTATTATGAACCCAATATAGACCTCAAAACGATAGTTATTTAAATTTATGTCTGTTTGTGTGTGCGCCTTTCACGCAAAAAGTAATGAATCAATTTCAAGGACATTTGGTTAAGTGATAACTTATTACTCGATTCAATATTTAGGATACCTTTTACTTCAGGAAAATTTGTCTTTCCCACGGGAAAACTCAATAATTGGTTTTACCGAGTCGACCTTAGAAAGTTTCCGCTGGCTAAAGCTTAAGATATACCTCAAAACAATGTACTAAAAAATTGTAGGTCTTGAAAAGGCCTACACAAAAGTCTGCAATAGTATATATCTATCTTCTACAGTTTTTTATTACATATTTTGTTCTTACCGCTCGCCGCCCCGCGTTAAGCTACCGCTGATAGCGACGAGGTCGTGGCCGGACCCTTAGGAAGGTTATACTAACAATTATTATCCTTTCATTTGTAGTAAGATAAGTAAGCTGTAAAAAATTATGTACGTAAGGAGTAAGAATATCACGTTATATAGAATAGAAATTGTAGAACGTAGAATAAAATGAAACACCTGAAATAAAATTGATCCCAATGAATACGATACTTTGATCGCGCTTAAATAAATAACACCAGACACTAACGAATACTAATGCTAGCTTAAACTCCAATTTCCCAAGTGTTGGAAATGAAACATTGTCACAATGAATATTTTTTTACTTTATTACCATCACACTTCCACTATATATAGAAAAAAATATGTTTGTTCACGGATTTGGATCATAATAGATAGATAGAAATGTCTACATAATTTTATAAATACAAAACTCATCTAGTTACTAGGTATAAAATAAGTATAATATAACAACGACTAACTTAAACTCAAAACAAGTCTATTCAAACAGACTTTTCTAAATACTTCATATCAAACTTAATATTTCTGTATAAATATAAATACAATATTGTGTTAGTAATTAAATATGTAGATGCAATAGGTAATGATGTAATCTTCGCAATGCAATGTTATAGCAAACAAAATCAAATGCGCTATTTGGTATATTATTATAAATGAACAATATCTATACATATAGTAATAAAATTGTAACTAAGCCAAATCTGTACATTTAATATTTTTTGGAAAATCTTATTGAAATAGACATTATTATCGATGCAGAGGCCGAATCTATAGTTTTTAGAATTTTTGTCTGTCTGTCTGTCTGTCTGTGTGTTACCGCATCACGGAAAAACCACTGGAGGAATTTTGATGAAATTTGGTATGGTGATAGCTGGTTATCCGGGTTAACATATAGGATACTTTTTACCGCGGGAAATTAGTATACTAATATGTAAAACCTAAGAATTTGGTTTTTGGTCATCTGAACGCGGGCGGAGCCGCGGGCAATGCTAGTATATAATATATGCGAAGCATTAGCATAACATTTTAATGCTAAAATATTTATGACGACTCTCGTATCCAAATTCCACTACATACGAAATTTAATAAGTTAAATTGAGCTTTAATTGTGTATTTGTTAATGTAATCTTAATTCTATTAGAAAGTAATAGAGTGTACTTTGCTTTGCACTATAGTAAACATTTTAAGGTGTGGTTCCGGATTTGACACAGTACTTTTGTATGCTAAAGAATAACCTCCGCTCGACAATGGCGCTTAAAGGCTTTAAGCCTTTGTAAAGTTATTACTGTGCAAAGTTTTATTTGCTTTAACATTGTAAAAGTTAAACTTGAACGTATCTAATTTTAAAATATTTCTGTTATTACGAGTAGCTTATATGTATATTAAATTATTTATACATTAAAAGAAAATAGCTAACTAATAGAAAGTTTTATTACTTGAAACAAAAACAAATCTCTCCCACGGGAACCGTACACTTTTCCGAGATAAAAAGTAGCCTATGTATTGTTCTGATGTACGAGCTATATTATTGTAAAGTTTCATTAAAAACCATTCTGTAGTTTTTGCGTTAAAGTTTTTGCATCTATAATCCAGACATCCATACATACTCACAAACTTTCGCGTTTATAATATTACTTTAGATTTTAATATAAAATTATTGATACATATAATCTGCCTGATCTATGAAATCCAAATATCTTATCTCTAAAACAGATTTCTAGTCAGAAGTCAAAGGGATGTTCTTAATTATTAAAATTATTGTCTTTACACATAAATACAAACAGATAGAATTTACATGTGCATTTGATGCTTATACGTATATGGATGTAATAATTAAATTAGCAATAATTTTGATGGTGCCTTAAATACAGCCTTATTTAGAAATCGTATATTTACGTATATATTTACCATAACTTATCCTTCCTGGATCACACTTTGCCCGAAAAACTTAAATGCTTGAAGTACATCTTTGTACACTTTTCATTTACAAGTTTCATGGAACAGATGTTCTCTTATGTTTTATTCATCGTATGATATAGGAAGCAAGTTCACTAATCGAATATCAATGATATAGAAGTGGTTGAGAGCAAATAGTCTTTAAATAGAGATTGAGCTAACAAATGCAACTACGAGTATATAAATTATACGACATTTTAATGTATTCTACATTTGTCGTACAGACAAAGGTTTTATTTCGATGGTAATTCGTTATTTTTATGAGGAGGATTACGTAATGACTTAATGACTCGTTTGTCATGAGAAAAACCTTGGTTTAGAGTATTATAATACGCATGTGCTGCACGAGTTGGTAAGGGCTAGGTTCAATTGTACCAGCAGATTGCGGGTAATCAAACTGATTACTATGGGAATTTTTATGCAAAATGCTAAAAATTTTATTTTGACTATTATGGTGCAATGAAATGTTGGCATTGCTGTCTGTTTCAAAGGTTAAAACCTGCCAAGGGTTTTTGAAACACACACACACTTATTAAATATTTATCGGTATAAACTGTTTAATATTGGCGAAAGTTTTAAAATACAACTTAAAAATAAACTTGCGAGTATAGTAGTTTTTGTTTTATATAATTTACGTTTATAAGCCTATGAGTGTACATGAGTGCAAATGAGTATAAAAGAACATTGAACAAGACGACCAACTTTTTGTGTACTTTTGCTTTTAGATCAAAACCAAACTATTAACTTAGAGAATCGTGTGCATGTCAAATATAAATATTTGCTGCACGCGGAAGTCAGAACTACATATATGTATACATGTATATTCTGGCATAGTAGGAAGTTACTATACTTATTTTAATTATAATTATTAATCTTAAAGTGTATTTGTTGGTTAAGTTTCAGGCAGCAATGGATCAAAAGATCAATTTAATATTTAACTTAAAAATACTTTAGGGCCGGAGAGTGACTTGCCTACCGAAAACTCGAAAACTGTCTTTAACCAAGTAGATATATAGTTTAAATTCTAACTATAGTAACAATATTTTAATATATACAAAATATAGGTACTTTTGTGTATAAATAAGCGTAATGTCACCATATAAAGAATTTCAAACGTACAACGATATTAAATCCAATTTTCTTTAGCTTATCTTCTCTTTATGGTTTTAAACAAAAATCTAAACGGAATCTCTATGAAATGACACCATGGGGAATTCAAATGTACTTAGCACCAATGTTACTTGTATTATCAGCCTATCTGAAATAAGTATCTACTGAAATATTTATTTGTTTTACATTTTTGATTATTTTGTAAAATAATTATTTTTCTCTATTAAATATTATAAGGAATAATAATGAATATAAATATATATTATAATCATAATGAACTATTGCGGAAATAACTAATAAGCATAGCTTTATGATACATTAAAAACCAAATCCGTGTAAGTATATATATTTAATGTATTTTGTTATTATAAAGTTTTTTTCTCGAGAAATATGTAGTACTAGCATTGCCCGCGGCTCCGCCCGCGTTCAGATGACCAAAAACCAAATTCTTAAGTTTTACATATTAGTATACTCTTACATTGCAGTTTTTGTATTTCTTTCTCAGAAATGAGATATTTTCCCGTTGTAAAAAGTATCCTATATGTTGACCCGGATAACCAGCTATCAACATACCAAAATTTATCAAAATCCCTCCAGTGGTTTTTTCGTGATGCGGTAACAGACAGACAGACAGACAGACAGACAGACAGACAAAAATTCTAAAAACTATAGATTCGACCTCTGTATCGATAAAAATGACTATTTCAATAAGATTTTCCAAAAAATATTTAATGTACAGATTCGGCTTAGTTAGAATTTTATTATATGTATAAATAATAATATATTTTACCTACTGGTACAATAAAATCCAAAATAGATATGAGTTCAGGGCAATTTGCATAAAATACGTATTTGTTGTTGCCTAGCAATAAAATCGTGGGGCATTCAGACTTTAGAGGCTCTTATTCAGCGCTTTACATTCAATGAAAAACGTTAAAAAATTGTTACTATACAACGTCTTTCTATTTATTATTTATGTGAATTTTAATTATAATATCGAAAATGCTTAAATTTTATAAATGAACTTGATACAAATTATTTCATAATATAAAATCTTTATATATATAATTCTTCTGTGAGTGTGTATGTCACTGAACTTCTCTCAAACGACTGGACCGATTTTGATGAAATTTTTTGTTTGTGTTCAAGGGGATCTGGAAATGGTTTAGATTCACAATTTGAATAATAATTTTCATCAAAAAAAATATTAAAAAAAGTTTGAAAATTTCAAATTAAAGACGTGTAGACAGGACAACGTCTGTCGGGTCCGCTGGTATATACATATATCGATGACACGTTTGGCTCAGTTTGTAGTGACTTTATTTGCTGCGTCAGCGGTCGCGGGTAGAGTCCCGCTTGGGGCATTCATTTGTGTGATGAACACGAATGTTATTACTCCAGCCATGGGTGTTTATATTTATAATATGTATGTATTTAAAGTTATATATGTGTAGTGTATCAACTATCCGGTATCCATAACACAAGCCTCGAAGCTTACCATGGAACTAGATGGTGTTGTGTGTTAATGTCCCAATGTCCCAACATATTTATTCATTTATTTGGTATGGTATGGTATGTTCGGGCTAGTTTCCGCAACTCGACGACTATGCGCCTATTTTGTGTATTTTTATTTATTTGTGTATATATATTTATAATGTTTATACATTATTGTCATCATAAAACAACCTGTAACCAATGCGAATCGAGTACAATGACACTTTTTATGATATTCTTCAATAATAACTAATTAATAATAACAACAAACAAAATTAAGCCTTTAATCTTGTCGATTCTACAGTAGGTATGTTAGTTTCTAATATATTTGATGTAAAATAGTAGATATATTCGTTACTTACTAAGCGGTCATACAAAACATTAATTTCAAAGCCAAACGACGTTATAAAAACAACAAAAGAATATTTTGTCGTCTGCAACAAACAGCCAAAACATGATTTATTAATTATTTCTGTAAATCTTAGAGCTTGAATGTTACTCATATTATTTATTACAGACATAAATTCTAAAAACTATAAATTCGTCCTCTGTATCTATAATAATGTCTATTTCAATAAGATTGTCCAAAAAATATTTAATGTACAGATTCGGCTTAGTTACAATTTTTTTATATGTATAGATGTCAAATATTCATAAATCTAAGAAAGTGTCATCATTATAATTTTATAGGTAGGCCATGACTGGGGATACTACACGATGGTGACGGATCTGCCCAAATACTCGCATGACGTGCTCAAGTTTAACATAGCAACTACTGGTACTCTGACAGCCTTGCCGTATATAGCGATGTGGGTGAGCTCTTTCTTGTTTGGCTTCGTTTGTGACTTTTGCATTAAGAAAGGCTGGCATACGATCAAGACTGGGAGGATTATTCACACTACTGTAGGTTGGTACTATGAATATTATGATCTTAAACTACTTTATATATATATATTATTTATTGCACAAATTAGTAATAAAAATAAATAAATAAATAAAATGTAATAAATAAGAGAACTCTTCCAGTGCGAAATAGTGTTAAATATTATAAATGTGAAACTTTATATGTATGTTAATATATTTGTTAATCCTCCTTAATGCCAAAACTGCTGAACAAATTTGAATGAAATTTAGTACATAGATAGACCATGATTCGAGGTAAGACATATTATGTAGGCTAACTAGAGGTGCTCTCGAGCAAGTCCAGGGTAAGACCTATTTACGCTTATAATTTTTACTGTTGTTAATTTGAATTTAAATAACGTTATATTCTAAATTTTATTTAGACGATAACGATAAAAAGCAAAAACAAACTATCCACGGGGTCAATACATTTGACTGGGATAAAAAGAAACGTATTTCCTATTCCAGACTATAATCTATCTCTGTGCCAAATTTCATCCAGATCCATCCAGCCCTACTGACGTGATTGAGTAACAAACATCAAAACAGGATATATTTAATGGGATATATTTCTTCTATTTTCTTGGATTTGTCCCACGTGCTTCCGTATGAAATGTTATATCGTAATCCTAAATTGACTTATAAATACAGGTGAATCCGCGTGATTAAGTTTTTATGCTTACTATTTTACCACTCTGTAACAGTATAAAGTATTTGATTGAAATTCGAGATACACCCAGAGCAGCCAGTGTTAATGTTAACTTAACTTAATTAATATAAATAAAACTTAATTAAGTTTTAATAGTATTTTTTACGAAATATTACTTGATAAATGAATCATGTTCAGAATATACCAAGTATTGTTAAATGTAATAAATCTTATAGATAAACTAAAATTTATAGAATAATATATAGAAATAGGTCGAAAAAGAGCTAAATAGAAACTATCTCGTCTGGGTTAGATAAGAAATAATGCGAACCTATTATTTATTATTATTATGAACATATTTCTTTTCCACAAAATCGTAGCGTTATCTTTGAAGACGTATTTGAATAATATTCTTAAAGATAAAGTTTACTATTTATTCAATACTATAACTATATTAATAAAACTGAAATACTGTTCGTTGGTAGCGCATCACTTGGCATGGCTGGGCCGATATGGTTTTTCTTTTTTTTAATTTATATTATTATTTTATAAGTAGAAAAATTGAAAAAAAATAAAAAAGATTCCGATGAATTGAGAACCTCCTCTTTTTAAAGTCGGTTAAAAAGTCGGTGAAACTTGTATCAACTCACAGATCACAAAAAATATAGGAATTTAGATAGGATTTCGTTCTTTTGGAATAGTTCGATGCTTATAAAAATACAATAGAAAAAAATTTGCTCGTAATAAGTAATTATGTAAATTAATTATATCGCTGAGACAAATGCGAGAGTTGAACTTACAATCCAATAGATGTATTTATTAGTATCATTTACTAGATAACGCTCGTGGATTTGAAATTTATAATTATTAACGATTGCGCGTACAGATTCATTTTTGAACGATAAAAATGTTTGTATTTTATTCCAATCTCTTACTTCGTTGTGAAAATCACGTAATTTTTTTTAAACCTTTAACTTCTACAATACTCTAACCCACAGGATCATTCTCTTCATCCAAGATAAAAGTAGTACATATTTTTGTACTTAAAATTCGTATATACTCGCGCTAATAAATTATTTACTAATTCTTCCATACGTAATGTTTTAATTTAACAAGTGCGAGTCGGACTCGAACGCGAAGGGTTCCGTACCATAATCGATTTTTTTAAATTAGCATGACAGTTTTTTTTTAAATTCGCCATCTTGGTTTTTTATTGTATAATATATCTCTTACCCGTATCCTCTATTCGCCATTGATATTCTCAATCGATTACTTTATTATTTGGACTTTGGTATCATATAAACTCAAAATTGCTCAAATCATAATATAACCTCAAAATTGAGTAACTTTTTCGAGATCACAGGCGGACAACTTAATATTATTTACTAGTATAGATATAGCTTTTTATAGTATTCTAATTACATGTCATGATGGTAATTTTTCGAATTACTTGAGATTACTACTTAACGTATTTTTCGTTACTTTACAGCTGCTACGGGACCAGCTATTTGCATAATCTTAGCTTCATATGCAGGATGCGATCGAGCTGCTGCAATGGTATACTTCGTTCTTTCTATGGCGTTAATGGGAGGATTCTATAGTGGTATGAAGGTAATTATCAGTTTTTCACCATAGAATCAGTTACTATCATATATAATTATTATACTTACATGTGAAAATTTTTATTACAAATAAAACAGGTGAATATTAGTCGTTAACTAAAACAACACATAGGACTGACATAAAAATGCCTAGTTTTTAATTTTATATTCCAAAACATTTTTATTATTGTACTTTAAATTGAGTATACCTATATATTTTTAATTTTTTAAAATATTTGGAAAACATACAGTACAATAATACTTAAAGTTAATCCGATATACATAGTACATAAACCAGCGAAGTTTCCACTTATAAATGTAACATATGTATGTTAAGAAATAGCCAGTTTGATATTTACGTGGTATAAATAACTTATATTGGTAATCATAAATGTTTAAAAGAGCAAAAAGATTATTTAAAAAAACACAGTAATTAGTGAACAGAATCTTCTTTGTCTTCCTTTCCTTCCAAAAATCTTAAAAATCGGTCACTTTTACAATATTTTTTTTTGTTTAATTTTAACATACATAGGTCAACGCGTTGGACCTGGCACCAAACTACGCCGGCTCACTCACATCGCTTGTGAACACCACATCCACCTTCGCAGGCATTGTGACACCATACCTTATTGGGCTGTTGACACCTGACGTAAGATTTCATAAAAAAATTGTATTTTTATTGTCTGAATGTAATATATATGTATATTTCTTTATTTCGAGGTTTGTTATATTATTGTCATTTTAAAGATTCATTATTTAATAAAATCGGTGTGAAATTAAGAGTGTTGCAAGTTATAGGATAAATTATTCTTATTTATAAACTAGTATTACCCACGGCTCCACCCGCGTTCAGATGACCTAAACCAAATTCTTAGGTCTTACATATTAGTATACGCTTACAATTCAGTTTTAGAATTTTTTCTCAGAAATGAGATATTTTCCCGCGGTAAAAAGTATCCTATATGTTGACCCGGATAACCAGCTATCATCATACCAAATTTCATCAAAATCTGTCCTGTGGTTTTCTTGTGATGCGGTAACAGACAGACAGACAGACAAAAATTCTAAAAACTATAGATTCGGACCCTGTATCGATAATAATGTCTATTTAAATTAGATTTTCCAAAAAAATATTTAATGTACAGATTCGACTTAAGTTACAATTTTATTATATGTATAGATTTGTACTTTTTATCGTTTAAAACAAATATAATTATAAAAGCGCGAACATTGCATACGTTATATTACAATATACTTACCTACTTTTTGTTAGTTTTTGCCGACAGTTCAGTCGGTATAACGGTAACAATAGGCCATGATAGACAATGATAAAGATAATATATGTACTTGTTAATTAGTATAAAAAAACTAAATCGGTTCATTAGCTCCAGAGATAACCCCCTGACGTACAAACAAAATCTCACTTTTTACCCGATTGCGTGATGCAAAGGAGGGTCATGTGTTTATCAGCCTATAAATGTATGTATGTATGTGGGTTTGTACCTTTGTGGCACTATTTAGACCAAACGCGGGGGCCGATTTTGATAAATGATACGTTGTTTTATTTGTCATGTCGGCGTCAATGTGATAGAAAGAATAAAAATTTGAAAAAAATCAAAATGGGCGATTTTGGACGCCATAATGTTAAAAAGAAAAAAATTAAAGTCGACGAACTATATCAAGTGGGGTATCGTTGAATAGGTATTTAAAAATCATTTGTAGGTTTCTTTCATCATTTATTATAGTGTAAAATAAAACATAGAATTTAACTTAAACTAAAATTTGTTTCATGATAACTAAAAATAAACTAGTACATAAAAAAATCAAGAAGTATATAAATACTTTTTTTTTCAACAGTCAACCCTGGCACAATGGCGTGTGGCATTCTGGGTGTGCTTCGCAGTATTAGTTGGCACTAATGTTATATACTGCATATGGGCGGATGGAGAGCAACAATGGTGGGACGATGTTCGCAAATTTGGTTACCCACCTGGCTGGAAGCATGGACCCTTAATCCCAGAAGAAAACCTCGAACAACCAGAAACAGTTAGATTATCTAACAAAAAGGATAACGACGACGCATTTTAAATATTATTTCTAGCTACTTAATTATGAAACCACCTTAATATTATTAAGAACGCATTTTATATACAAAGTTGTAATTCTACTGAACGTTTAAACAATAAATATTTGTACAACGTCTGTATGGTAATTTTAACGTAATGAAAAACCAACACGATTGCGTATAACGATTGAGATAGCGGTAAAATAAATAATCGAAATCAATATACTGTACTTAGTTGATCTGAATTTCATACATAACAAATGTATATTGTTAGCTGTAGTTCATTTCTTTGCGAGTACAAATAGGTTATTAGCGTTTATAAAACCATTGCTAGTCAGTGATTTTTCATTGATAAAACTAAGCCATATTAATATGTAATTTTTAAGATTATTGAATTATAATATTATTTTTTTAATTTTATTATATATATAGATACATTTATCTAAAGCAAGCCCATTAATGTAAAATATGTAAATAATAATATGAAGTTATTTGTTAATTAATACTCATAACAATAAATGGTATATGTTATAGATGCTTCTTTTATTTCAAAATTATGCTGAAAGCTCTATAGCTTATTAAAGCTCAAATATTAAAGCTCAATTCGCCAGAGTTCGCGGTATTGTCTCCCATTGTGCTAAATTTTATATTTACCTTATAAATGCGTTGCCACTGGAGGACATTGTGTTGGGTTAATATGTTTTCTTTAAACAAAAATTAAAATTTACTGGCTAAATATTTTTTTTTTAATTAACTGCAAATGAATATATCACGTTTTAATTTACTAATTTTCCACTAAATTTGTATACCTTGCTACCTGTCACAGTGTAAATATACAATTATCATTTACAAATAGTAATGCTATCTGGTGGATCTTAGATATTGTATTTTGTGTATTTATTATTAGTATGTCGCTCAAATTTTAAGAAGATACATCTTGAATAAAGTTATTCAATATAATGTAGAGTTTGACAAAAGAAGTAATATTAAATGAATTAAATGAAATTATCTCGATTCTTATCTATATAAATTAGTTATGGAAGAATCAAAGCCGTCTCAAGTTGAAAGCTTGATATATAGTCAGAACGTGACAACAATCACAAAAGAAGAAAGCTCTATTACGAAGATATTACGATCATGTGAGTAAGCTCTGTCATACTCGTTTATAATATCATGAATAATAAAACATGCCTGAAGATTTTTAATTTTTTTTTATATAATAATTGATTCGAAGGATTTATGAAATATACAAAAACCTGCATTATTCAAATTTGATCAATTACCTTAACATCTAGGTACCCATATGAAAATTGCACTATAGAAATACACAAACTACTAATAGCATGCTAGTTTGCCCACGGCTCCGCTAGTACAGTTTATTTAAGAAATTTCTCTACTCCTAAGAAGCGTATTATGTTAAATAACTCTTAATCTTCCTTAATAAAAACGACTATACATCTTATATATAAAATTTCCATGTCACAATGTTTGTTACTGTACTCCTCCGAAACGGCTTTACCGATTTTTACCAAATTTTATATGCGTATTCAGTAGGTCTGAGAATCGGCTACTATCTATTTTTCATACCCCTAAGTGATAAGGATAAGGGTGGTCCTCCCAGATCCCACCCCAGGGACGAACCCGAGCGGAGCGAGGGTGAGTCGCTAGTATTATAATATAAGAAGAATTTTTGAAATGTCACTGATAGTTCTAAAATTGTTCGATAGCAAAAAGTAAATTTAATTTTAGGATAAAATTATAGATGTACTTGTATATAATATAATTTTTTTCTAGGTTGCCTTATCCCTCGGCGCTATGTCTTTGCAATGGTAGCACTCATTGGTGTCTGCAATGCTTTTACAATGCGTGTAAGCTTGAACATTGCTATAACTCAAATGGTAAGGCATAAAAAAGTTGGTGATACACACTTTGATCCAAACGCTTGTCCAGTGGATGTTGTTATTAAAAATTCTACTGTTTTCGTCAATCCAGTAAGTTTTGAAATATATTTTTAAAAATAATCAGCTGTTACTAACTGGTCCTCTAGCGTTTTTATTTTTACTTCAATTTCTACTAATCATTAATTTTCAATGTGATACATGAAAGGAAATTCTCTTCAGCTCTATAATTATTTTAGAGGAAACTATCAAACATGATTATTGTAGAAAGAAAAATTAAACTGCGACAAAATCGGACAAGATATTTTCAAGAGTTTTCTTAGATTTACGGGAACATTTCATGTCAAATTTTCCCGTGTTCTAACAAAACTCTTAAATTGGTACAAATCTAGTAATAATGATCATTTAGATAAGTTTGGTTTGAATATCATAACGCTACATTTTTAATCTTGATATTATTTAGATTACCTGAATAAAAATATTATAAATATATATTTTTTTTAATTAATTTCAGCATGCGATGTTTGATTGGGATGAGAAAACACAAGGTCTACTTTTGAGTAGTTTCTATTATGGTTATGGAGTTACACAAATTTTGGGAGGATATTTGGCGCAAAGATATGGTGGAAAATGGGTTTTAGGTTGTGGTCTTCTTAGCACAGCTTTGTTTACATTTCTTACACCAATTGTAACAAAATCTGGTGGAGCGACATGGTTGTTTATTCTTCGGATTGTGGAAGGAATGGGAGAGGTAAGTTGTTTTTTGATAAGTAATTTGATTTTGAATTGAACCAGTTTTTATTTTAAATTTGACCAGGGACCGACCATGCCAGGATTAACATATATGATGGCACGATGGATTCCATCCCATGAAAGAGCATTTTTATCTGCTGTAATATTTGGTGGAGGACAAATCGGTAATATATTTGGTCCAGCTGTAGCAGGATTATTGATGACGAATGGTGGAGATTGGGCCAATGTTTTCTACTTTTTTGGTGGATTTGGTATCTTCTGGTTTATACTGTGGGTGAGAAATAATTTAAGAAACATATTTTTATTAAAATAATTATTAAAGACGTATTGTATGTATATTATACATACATACTTATACGTTCTATTAATCTGATTTACCAATAAATTTGTGAAATAAAATTTTTCAGAGTTTTTTATGCTACAGCGAACCACAGACCCACCCTTATATTACTAAAGAGGAATTAGAATTCTTAAACAAAACGGTTACGAGGTCAGAAAACAAAAAGAAGGGGGATCCTATACCTTGGAAAGCTATCCTTCGATCTCCACCCGCCTGGGCTTTATTAGCTGCAAACGTAAGTTTAATGTTTTGGAATTACAGTATGACTATTATATAAAATATAGTATTATTTAATTATTATTAGGGAAACTATATTATATCTTTGGTAGTAAAACTATAAAAGTCAAACTTTTAGTTTAGAACTCAAAATATTTTATCAAAATAATAACTTAGAGCATAGTATACATGGCTACTTAAAATTAATTAATAATATACTCGAATTTATATGTATATTTTAAGACTATAATGTATTTTTTGTAGGTTGGTCATGATTGGGGCTTATATACTATAGTTACAGAGCTTCCGAAGTACTCATATGATGTATTGAAATTTAACATAGCTACTACAGGTTTTCTGACTGGTTTACCTTTCGTTGCTTCCGTGATTTGTGCCTCAATTTTTGGACTCATTTGTGATTTGGGTATTAAAAGAAAATGGTTCAAAATAAAAACGGCTAGAAAGATTTTTACAACTATAGGTAAGAATACTAAAAATACATACTAATCTATAGATATCTATAGAATTTTTATTTCTAATAAAATGGCTTATTACTCACTAGCGACTCACCCTCGCTTCGCTCAGTTTCGTCCCTAGCTTGATTTCCCATACAAACTTTCATCCCCATTTTCACCCATTAAGAGATGATTTCGGAGATAAAAAGTAGGTATCCTATGTCCTTCCTAGGGTCTCAAACTATCTTCTTACCAAATTTCACCTATATCGGTTCAGTAGACCTAGAGATTACCCTCTACAACGTCATAAACTCACAGACTCAACTTCTTTACCTCTTTATAATAGTATTGATAACTAAGAAGAAAACAAAAAAAAAACTTTAAAAAACATCAAAGATTTAGTTCTTAATTGGATAATAATGTCTAAGTAAAAATTTTAAAACACTTCCTTTGTAATTTTATTACAATTTGTAGAAGCTTTACCTTTATCTGTAAATAAAATAACGCATTTTTTTTTAATTTTGGATCATTAAATAAAATTTCTAAATATTTCAGCCTCTGCTGGCCCTGCAATATGTATTATATTGGCTTCATATTCTGGATGTAACAAATATGCTGCAATGGGATATTTTATATTATCTATGGGACTTATGGGGTCTTATTACAGCGGAATGAAGGTTCGTGTATTTTTGTACCGTAGGGTGATATAATTTGTGGTTGAGGAAGTAACAAGCAACCAGATAGATACTTTTTATTTTGGTTTTGTCACATACTACGAGTATGTTTCAAAGAGTTACGATGGGGTATGCCTTTGCCTTTATTAAAAGCAAAATTTAAGTTGCGTGTCACCTAAACTATATTTTTACATTTATATCACAAAATTAGGACGCCTATGAAAGTGTACAAGTTATTTTCTTTTAGTACTTTATTTTTCTCTAAATCTTTCAATTTTCTCGGCATTAAGGCGAGAAATTGTCTTCTTTATTTGTGTCTCAATAATAACTACCTCGGTAGTGAAGTGGCTAGCATGTGTGGCTACATCCGGAGGTCCTGAATTTGAGTCCCAGGTCGGGTCAAGTTTAGTTATTTAGTATTGAGACTTGGAAGTTGGCGGTGTTTCACACTCGTGTCGCGGAAAGCACGTTAAGTTGTCGGTCCTGCGCCTCAACTCTCACTGGTCGTGTCGAGTAGTCGTCCCACCAGAGTATGCGAGTGACAGGAACAGAGCGTGTACTGTGTCTGCGCGCATACTTGTGTACTATAATATCTCCTGCGCAGTTGGCTAGTCTCAATGAAATTGGCTGCCGTGGCCGAAATCGGTCGGGAAGGACACGTTATTAATATATCTTAACAATAATTTACAACTACAACTTGCCATATTTGCCACTTGTTATGCACTTAAATATACAATTTTTTTATTTCACATTTGGGATATACCTATGTATAAAGGAAATAACTATATCCTACTAACTATAGTTTCCTATCTTTTCCAACTTCGGGCAATATAATATGTATGTCGAAACATGTTAAATAATTAACCATGGAATTCGTTCCAGGTCAACTGTTTGGACGTAGCGCCCAATTACACGGCGACTCTAGCATCTCTTATTAATACTGTATCTACATCAACAGGCATAATAACACCATATTTAATGGGACTACTTACACCTGACGTTAGTTACATCGATTTATACTAAAGTTTAAAATAAAAAACCTAGGTACTAGGTTTTTATTACTCAAAAATAAAAATCATAATTTAAAAGTTAATTTTAACTTTGATTTTCAGTCAACTTTACTCCAATGGAGAACTGCATTTTGGATATGCTTTATAATGCTTATAGGAACAAATTTATTGTACTGTATATGGATGGAAGGAGAGCAGCTGTGGTGGGACGATGTAAGGAAGCATGGATATCCACCTGGATGGAAACATGGCCCCCTGACAGTTGAAGAAGTAGAATACCTAAAAGATTCTCCTAAAATTATGAAATTAAATAAGAATTATGTGAAAGAAATACCATGTTAACTTATAAATATATCAAATATCTATTTATATTACAAATAAAAAGGGCGTTGTTTTAATAATCTTTATTTTATGGTACTTTTAAACCGAGTCCAGTATTGATATGTTTAATATATAATTCTGAATCGATTTTTGACGTGAAACGTCTTTAAAATCATAACAAAAAAAACAAGTACCAGAAAAGTAGACCGTAACGAAAGAGGTTGCCTTAGGTTGCTATAGTAACCGTTGTTTATTGTCTGAAAAATGATATATATATATATATATATATATATATATATATATATATATATATATATATATATATATATATATATATATATATATATGATATTCCGTTGCTATCTTCAAACTGGTATATTCCGTGTCAGTTTAATATTAAAACGATTAGAACGAAGTCAATTTTGTTTTCATTTCAATATTTAACACTAAAAGCAATTCGCTGAAATAGACGTTTCACATTAAAACAAATTCGGCGTGCTGCGACACAGCCCCACCCGACTTTTTCGAATTATTTTTTAATGAATGTGTAGTGTAGGGTGTAACCGTACAAAATTCTCTCCGAAGGATGAAATAATTAATTATAAATGATTTCGATGTCGACGTACCTGTTTAAGTTAATATATATATGTCGGAGACGGTCATCAATACGGTCGCTAAACGAAGCGCGGCACGACGCCTGAGTGATGGCAGCACCTTCGGTATTATCGCCAACACTCGACGAGTTTCGTGCTACGACGGAGCCTAGCTAAGGGAGGGGTGCTAAGAGGGCTGGACACTTGCCTTCGAGCCGAGCCAAGCTTAGGACCGCTCCACTAGGAACTGTCTTGCGTTCCGTATTGTCTATACGTGGTAATAGTGAAGTGGTATATGGTTGTGTAGTGAAGTGCTGTTTAACTATGTACAAAGTGATTATTGTTAATTTGAAATACAACTGTGATTGCATCGACTTTCATTTGAACCAACACTTCCCATATAACGCCCACTGTATAATTCATGATAAAATAATGGAAAATAATAGAGAAAATTAATGCTGCTTCGATATCAGAAGCGGGATCAGTGTTGGTTCAATTGCAAAAAGAACTAACTCTGAGTGAACAATGACGTGCTATGTTTGAACAACAAAATGTCAGTATGTGATCTCTTATCGAGGCCATGCAAATGCCTCGGATGAAGAAGAACGTCAGGTTACACGAGTTTGACCCTGACAATATGGATACGGACGCAAGATCTTGATTTGCGACTGTAGATTTGTGTTTTGCCGAATACCCTCCATACGGCGGCTAGCTTATTTTAACAGTCAGTAAGGAATTAAAAGGATAAGGGTCGACGTGGCTGTCACAATTTGTATACCAGAGAATAACATAGGAAGAGTTCAAAGTGATTTTCAAGGTGAGATTTATTTCCACCGAGACATTGGCTGGTACGCTAATTAATTTTAACAGTGACAAACCAAATGAAAAAAGAAACTGGTTACGTACGCAAATCGCCTGATGACGTCACTGACTAATCGTTGGAAAGACGCTAGCAAGAATCAGATAGCAATTGCGACTGTCCTTGCTCACTTATGTCAGTTTAATTCGAAATTACAACGATTGGCCTTTACTACGAAAATTGCTTCGCGAGATCGACTGCAGCAGGGATTGCACGCATTCTCACATTTGAAACGCAAAGCTAGTTTATCTGATGATTTTTCAAAAGTGCCTGATGCTAAACGAGCCAAGCTAATGTTAAAATGTTATAAGTGCAGAAAAGTGAGTCATAAGCGGTCATAGTGTAGAAACAAGGTAAATGTGGGTGTGGAACGACCTTCGATGACAGCAACGGCATTGCAGCCTGCAGTGAAGTCTCTGGTGTGCTTCAAATGTGGCAAGCCTGGTCACATCACGCTCCGGTGCATAAGTAGTGCCAGTCAAGTGGACGGCAGCAATATGGGTGCAACACGAACGGAACGACGCGTGGATGTATGTGTTGTACAACCATCTTCGAATGCTCAATGGCATAGAGGTAATCTGTATTGCTTTTGTTATAATCATGTTGCTGAATATTCGTTAGTAAGATAACATTTAGCAGTCAAATTATGTGGTTAACGATTTTGTCCTTGCAATTTCTAGTATTGATCAAAACAGAATATTCCGCACAGAGTAAAATTTGTTTTGTAACGATTAACGGTCATTCTCTTGAAATCTTTTGAAATATTATGTTTTGCCTAATTATTAGTTACAAAATGGTATCATGATAGAACATGAGATATTGAAAGGTTTTCTATTAACATGACGGCTATAAATTCTTTACACAAAAATTCTACTAGGTCATGTACCAATAGAGGTTGATGTAAATAATGATCATCATGCCAAGCAAATGTTTTAATGAAGTCGATGGAAACCGATGTAAGCATTCTGACGGCCGTAGTTGTGTCGACCGTACTAGTAACTATTACGTAGTCATAGCCTGGTAAAAGTCGGTCTTTTGAGGAAGCTCAAACTAAATAGACCGTGGGTGTGTGATGTGCGTTTAGTTCTGGCGGAGGTCGGGGTCTGTTATGACCATAGTGTGTAGTCACCGAGAGGGTGATACGGTGATCCTGTAGTGGATGTGTCGACCGTACTAGTAACTATTACGTAGTCATAGCCTAGTAAAAGTCGGTCTTTTGAGGAAGCTCAAAGTAAATAGACCGTGGGTGTGTGATGTGCGTTTAGTTCTGGCGGAGGTCGGGGTCTGTTATGACCATAGTGTGTAGTCATCGAGAGGATGATACATACGGTGATCCCGTAGTGGATGCACCTGGATTGTGGAGCAATTGTTATTGCTGGTTTTCTTGTAAGGCCGTGGCCTAAGAGTGGTTTACAGAGGTGCTAGTAAATTTGAAAATTAGTTTGATTGCTGAAGTGTTGAATGATGTTGGTACATGGCTCTGGATGACTAATGTTATTAGTTAGATTAGAGATAGTTACAGTGACTTGGAGTTTAAAAAAAAAACAAAGGTGTTAGCGTTAAAGCTTTTCGTTAGAATAAAGATGATTCAGATTCAAAGTTAAGTTTTATCTGGTCAGGATTGACCGAGTCGAGCAAGTATTTTCGTTGATTATTTGGTTGCAGGCTAACACACGGCTAACACACGAGGGCGTGTGCATGCAGGATGGCCGTGTCGGAGACGGTCATCAATACGGTCGCTAAACGAAGCGCGGCACGACGCCTGAGTGATGGCAGCACCTTCGGTATTATCGCCAACACTCGGCGAGTTTCGTGCTACGACGGAGCCTAGCTAAGGGAGGGGTGCTAAGTGGGCTGGACACTTGCCTTCGAGCCGAGCCAAGCTTAGGACCGCTCCACTAGGAACTGTCTTGCGTTCCGTATTGTCTATACGTGGTAATAGTGAAGTGGTATATGGTTGTGTAGTGAAGTGCTGTTTAACTATGTACAAAGTGATTATTGTTAATTTGAAATACAACTGTGATTGCATCGACTTTCATTTGAACCAACACTTCCCATATAACGCCCACTGTATAATTCATGATAAAATAATGGAAAATAATAGAGAAAATTAATGCTGCTTCGATATATATATATATATATATATATATATATATATATATATATATATATATATATATGATATACGATATTTTCAGAGAATTAATACACATTTTTATGGTAGATTTCACTACATAATATCCATATTTTGATATTATAAATGCAACAGTAACTTTGTCTGTTTGTCTGTTACTTTTTGACGCCTAAGCCGCTAAATCAATTTTCATGGATTTTGGTACAGTCTTCTTCTTCTTGTCGCATAAATGAAACTCTAAGGGGATGAAATAGGGATTTAAAAAAATAGTTTTCTGTTGGGAAAAAAATATCTCAAGTTAAGGACATAAAAGTTCGTTTTATCCTATAATTTTGGTAAGAAATAAAGAATGTTTCGGCGTTTTTGACCAATAAAGGTTAAATATAGAGGATGATTTCACGTATTTTTAAGTACTCACCTACATTTCTATACTAACCATAAAAACGTTTCTACGGACACGAGCGAAGGGAGGTTTAGTCGCTAGTAAAGTAATAAAAAGTAAAATATAAGTATTAAGTAGTCTCCATATAAGAAACACGTTTTTTATGTTTATCTATACATATAATAAAATTGTCACTAAGTCAAATCTGAACATTAAATATTTTTTGGAAAATCTAATTGAAATAGACATTATTATCGATACAGAGTCGGAATCTATAGTTTTTAGAATTTTTGTCTGTCTGTCTGTCTGTCTGTCTGTTACTGCATCACGAGAAAACCACTGGACAGATTATGATGAAATTTAGTATTAGGTTATCCGGGTCAACTTATAGGATACTTTTTACCGCGGAAAAATATCTTATTTCTGAGAAAAAATACAAAAACTGCATTGTAAGAGTATACTAATATGTAAAACCTAAGAATTTGGGTTTTGGTCATGTGAACGCGGGCGGAGCCGCGGGCAATGTTAGTTCTACAATAAAAGCAGTAGAACAATACAACTCCAGTATGATTACTGTGCCGAGTGTAATTTAAAAATAGATAATAAACACTGGCCCCGCGTGTGCCGGATTTATGCTTCGGTTTCCAATATCATAAACTTTACAATGTATGGTATATAGAAGCCTCGGTTTCAGATTCAACTTCGACTTTACAATGTTGGAAGCTGGAGAGTTTCAATTTTGATGTTAATAATATAAAATATTTTCCATGACTTTGATTTATGATATTATATAAGAAGATAATGCTTGAAATAAAAATAATATTATTGACCCATTATAATATAAAAATTATTATTTTGTTAAAGTAGGGTCTGCTCTTTGAAAACTAGGGGATTATTTTAACAAATGAAAGCAACTTTAATACTCTTATCTAGTGATATTTGCTCATTGTGTAAATTATGTAAAAAATGCAAAAGATAATAAAACTCGGGTGTGATATTATGTACATTATTTTTTATTGACAATGCGCGAAAATGATTCAGTAAAAAACACAACAAAAGGAACGAGTATACAGCGTTGATACTACACAATTTTCGTTCAGCGATCCCCAGAGAGGAGTCAATTTAAAATAAGATAAGACTAAAAGAAAGTGCTCGCTATTTTATTTGTTCTATATAGTGTTGTGGTTACAGTTTTTGACCGACTTTAAAAAAAGATGAAGTATTATCGAATCGATTTTCATTATTATTATTACTAGTAGACTGAGTGTCAATAATAATAATTTTTTTTATAAAACAATACCTCAATTGTGATCACATATAAAATTAAAAATAAACAGTATTGAAGTCGATGAATCGTTTTTATGTTTTAAAATACTACGAACGGCAAAATTGCTATAAAATTTGATCAGGATGTCACTAATTCTAGCAGTAGTTTATATCAAAAACATGTAAAAATTAAATAACTTGATAACCTTTTAATATTTTAACGCTATGCAACGTATAAAGGAATTTATTGTAATGATATTGGAAATATTAGCAGAATATTCGTTCTCGTTAAAATATATTAATTAATTAATACCCATTATGAAGGCCCTGCTTCAGCAAATTTAAGATATTTAATGTAGAGTGCTTTAACGAATAATTAAAATAAAACAAAATAAATTGACCTGTAGCTTCATTTAGGATTATTTTATTCATTTTGATCCCTCCACGACCGCGAACACGCCGGCGTCTCAGTTAACAATGAATTTCTTAGAAATTTTATTAATTTCTTAGAAATTTACATAGAGGTGTTAATATATTTATAAAACTTACACAATCTTGTTCTTTCGATTATCCCATGAGAAATGTATAGCTTATATCTTGAGGTAAACAGTTGACTCTGCTCCTTTACATTTATATTGATGATGATAATGTTCTCCTAGCCGATTCCGACCACGGCGGCCAATCTCATTGAGATTAGCCAACTGCGCAGGAGATATTATAGTGCTCAAGTGTACGCGCAGACACAACGTGCACTCTCTATTCCTATCACTCTCATACTTCGGTGGGACGACCACTCGACACGACCGGTGAGAGTTAAGGCGCAGGACCGACGGCTTTACGTACATTACATTTATTTTAGAGGTTATGTAATGATAAGAAATAACAAACAAAGAAACTAAGATAATATTATATACATTCGTATTTCACGTACAACATATTAAATACCATTAGCGAGAAAGTTTTAACTTAAGAAGTTTGCAGGTGAATCCTTTTGCCTGTTTAGACATGAGATGGAATGGAAATGGTTATAAAAAAAAGAATTATAACTTTTAATAAATTTATCCAAATAAAGAGAGAAAAATATCTATCTAGATAGAAATAAATAGATTAATTTTAAAAATGAATAGTAATTTATCTCGATAGTTGCTCATAAGCGAATTCTACACAAAAAAAAATAATCATCTGCTTTAACAATATACTCGTATTATATATAGACAACCTAAATTACAACAATGGGCAAAAAATTCAATAGTATTATGTCACATCAGTAAATTCTTATAAAATCTTTATACCTCTCCACTGTAGTATGACGCCGGTCGACAGATAGGTATTTAGAATTATTGAACCGATTCTAAAAACTCTTTTCTGAACAAAAAGCTACACTATTCTTAAAATAGGATATTTTTTTTCAACATAACACACGACTGGAGTTGTAAGGAAAAACTAAAACATGTAGAGCGAAAGAAAGACTTATCACTCATTTTCAACTCGTGCTGTTGTTGTTATGAGTTACTGTGGCATTATAGTTCGTTCAATATAAAAATGATTAATTTAGCAATAAAAAAGGAAATAATCGGAAAAAAAATCATCCTACTTTTTAAGTTGGTACAAATCACACACTTAAAAAAAATACATTAAGATCGGATGAGTAGTTTCGGAGTTCATCGCGGACCAACATTTTTACACGGGAATTTTATATTTTAAGAAGTTCGATGTAAATAAAAGAGATATATTGAAATATTTATTTATATCAGTCAAAAGGAAAATACTTGCTAGAAAATATCAGTAACATAATATTATTATATTTCAGAAATATTAGAATTCTCCCTACTCGTGGTGTTGTGAATCTGCATTTGTTTTCTAGCTTGTCGTAGCTCCTTTGTAGTTTCGGCGATTCGCTCTAGAAAAAGCTGTTTTTGTTCTCGTAGTCTAATCACCTGTACATATAAACTAATACTGTATTATTTCTTTACTCTTTTAAAAGTATAAATTCATACTTTAAAATAACAATAATAATAGTAGGGGAGCCCAAGAGGGGATTTTCTGTAGTTACTCGAGCGCGGCAGATTAATATACAGGGGGATACCTTGTACCCGGTTAAGTACCTCCACAAAACATGAGGCCCATATATAAGGCCGCCCGTGAAGGATACAGGATCAGATTAGTAAAAAAAAATTGACCACCAGAAATTCTCGAGCGCGTCAGATTAAGGTAGGGTGAGTTAATTACATCCTAAAAAGTGTATATTCCACTAATCTGACAATTTGAGAGTGACGTAAAAAAAGGGGAGGGCAACAAAGTTGTAAAAAAAAAACGTCGTCTCGACATTCTCGAGCGTAGCTAATTTTTTTTTATTTTGAAGGAAATAATGCAAGAATAATGAAAAATATATAATCTGACGATTTCCGCAAGCCGAAATAACAAAAATTCGTCGATAAAGTTAAATGCGTGCAGCTGCGTGATGCCTACATTTCCTTCTCCGCGTTTCTATTCCTCTCTCACTCTTTCTCTATCTATTACTCTCTCACTCCGTCCCCACTCTGGTTTCTGCCGCCATGACACCATCACAGCTGATCATAAAGAGTCTAGGGGTGTGCGAACATCGTTCGAATCGAATCGAATATCAATTTTCGATTCGAAATTCGAAAAATTTCGAATAATTCGTAAAAATTTCGAATAATTCGAAAGTTTTCGAATAATTCGCGAATTAATGAAATATCTCTGGATCTTCAATTCGAGAGATATCGTGAACGAAAGAAAACCGAAAAAAAGTGTTTTTTCGGGATTACTCCGAAATTTTTGGTTCGATCAATTAAAACCTGAAAATAACTTATGAGGATAATAAAACTGCGTCGAATGCCGTCAACCGCGTGAAAATTTCTTGATCTATTCAAAAGTTATTGCGGTTTAAAAATTCCAAAAATAGTGTTCTATGAAACCTCTATCAGACTTTCGAGCTGGGAGAGCTCAAATGCATAGAAATATTATTTCTTTGAACTCTGCGAGCTCAAAATATCACATAAATTATATTTTGAGCTCAAAAATGCCATAAGTACAATTTTAAGCGCATAGGAATGGAATTAGCGGGAAGTTGCAGGTACGGCCTTTAAGGTGAACCGTTTTTCTAATTTTTTTTCGTCAGATCAGGCGAATCCCTCTAGATAATCGTCAGATTATGAGACAGTACGTTTAGAACATAAAGATGAACCATATATATCTTAATCTGACGCGCTTGAGTATTTCAAAATGGCGATTTTTTTTTGCACATTATGAAAATGGCCGCGAGTTTGCGTCCCATCGAAATCGTCAGATTAGTGAATGAGAGCTTTTTTTTGGTGCAATTAACACTCCCTTAGAAAATCTGACGCGCTCGATTAAATTTTTTTTTTTTTCATTTTCAACCCTTAAATACAACCACCCGCATCATGCAAACGATCAGATTAACATACGTACATTATTAAAAATACGTAGGGCATTTATGCTATCAATATCTGACGCGCTCGAGGATGTCTATGCAACAGTTTTTTTTTACATATTTAAAAATCTATAGCCACTTCCCCCACCGATGCAAAGGTATATATCATATAACATTTTTTTCTTCTTATCATCTAAGCTTTGCATCCCAATAGGTCTCTACGACGCTCGAGTAAATCCCCATTTAGCTTCGTGGGCTCCCCTACCATAACCTTATTCAGTAGGTATAGAAATGGTAATAATTTATCTTTTTTATATAATTATTATTATCAGTCAATATAAATAAACTCGACTTGGCGGGGGCACTGCCGTGGCCCCCGATTAGTATATTAAAGTGAGGTAGGTACACGAGATAGCCAAGTCATGGATACATTTTCCCTATAAAAAATAGCACATATGTACATATATTACACACAATATATAATAATAACTTTACATTGATAAGACATGTCAGCTTACATGGGTTATGATTTCTTGTATTTTTTTATCAAAAACGCTTGTACCAAGCAAATCTGTATAATATGTAAATATTATAAATGTGAAAATTTGTGATTATGGATGTTTGTTACTCTTTCACGCTAGAACGGCTGAACGGATCTGGATGAAATTTGGCTCAGAGATAGATTATAGCTTACATTTTTGTACTATTTATCCCGGAAAAATGTACGGTTCCCGTGGGATAGATTTGTTTTCGTTTTCTTAGAGGCGAACTCGAGTGAAACGAGGGTGAGCCGCTGTAGTACATCATAAAAATGTTTACTTCATTCAAAAATCTAAAACGCAATCACATACCACCTCGATTTATCACTAAAAATGAACTAATAAAAAAATATTTGAATAACTAAAGATAGAGTACTACTATTTTACAGAATGAACGAATGCTAATACATTAAATCAATAAATATAAAGGCATTCTCATCAAAATGCCTAAACATTTTGGTATTGCAGCGTTAATAGTATTCGAGCATGACAGTGTACCTCGTCGGTGGCGTCTTGGTAATCACGCAACAAATCCTTTCTCGTGAGTAGACCAGCCTTCATTCGCTCCGCCTCGAGAGACCAACGTAGTTTATCGCGTCTTCCCTATAAATAATATATACGAGTAAATAAAAAAGTGGCAATAAGTGAATAAAATAGATGTTTAAGACCCGACACAAAAAAGAGGGTAATAATAATAATAATAAATATGTTGGGACATTAACACACAGCACCATCTAGTTCAATGGTAAGCTACAAGGCCTGTGTTATGAATACCAGATAGTTGATACACTACACATATATAACTTTAGATACATACATATTATAATTATATTATATAGGTAGTTATAACTTATAAGTTTAACGTGTGTAGTGTGTATCTGTTTGTGGTATCGTAGCGCCCAAACAGATGAATCGATTTTAGTTTTGTTTTTTGTTTGAAAGGTGATTAAATCGAAAGTGTTATTAGTTATTAATCAAGAAAAATCATTCAGTCGTTTACAGATCACGAGTTCTTTTCTAGACGGTAAAAGGATAATATGAATATTTTTAACTTTTAATTTAAGAGTTATTAGTATATAGATTTTTTTAACATTTCTTTTTTACTATATTTAGGTATATGATAACATTCATGCATTATTAAAATAAATTTTCATATTTTCCATTCAAATCGTTGCTTTTTCAGATGTACGTTTCACACTGCGCGAATATATTTGTTTTAGTGATTATAATCATTCAACATAACTTTTTTACATATTTAAGAATATAATTTAGGTTTTTTTTTCAAAATAGATAAAAAACGTAGGTAGCTCTTTAATGCTAGGAAAAATGGAGACCTTTGACTAGACTTATAATATGTACTTATACATATACATATGTATATTTACATAACTTATACACTACCTTATATAAATAAAAAAAAGTTTAATATCGAAAATATTCATTTACCTTTATTTCACCTAAATCCTCCCTTGCTCTGACGAGTTCAATTTCAGCTTCTCCAAGGTCACATTCAGTAAAGTCAATAACTTCATCCGTGTGGTGCATCTTTTCCCTGATGTGAGCCAGCTTCTGATTGTGTTCCGTACAATTAACTCGATTTTTTATCAGTTCGTCTTCTCTTTCTGTAGTATAATAATAGTGTTATACTTTAAAAATAAACAAAGAAATATTACAAACTATTTTTTTTTATACTTTCTTAGATTTACGCGAATATTTGACATTTTAAATAAAACTATATTTTGGGACTTGAGACTGGTAGAGTCTCTCCCGTGACCATGATTGCTGTAAAGCATTCGAAACGTCGGGAACCAAAAATCCAAATAAATCCGCGAAAAAATCCGAAAAGATAGTTTTGTTTAAAATATTTTTTTTGTTTATTTTTTAAGTATTATTAATTCTAGTAATCTGCCTCGTTGATCTAGTGGCTAGGATTGTGTGTCCTGGGTTCGAGTCCAGGCCAATGGTCAGGCCAAGTATAGTTAAATTTTATTGGTGCAAATTATAATATTTCTGTCGTAGTAGGATTGGCCGCTGTGGGGAAAATCAGACATTATGACCTTTTATAATTAGTTCTAGTAATAAAGTTAATAATGTTACAAAAAATATCATACAAAATCTGGTCTACAATATCGCATATATCCTTATTTCATTATCATTATGTACATTGACTTTGTTTCATTATAATATAAACAGTTTGAACAAGAATCTCGTCTGTTATCAAATTAATAAAAATAATATATAAAAACTTAGCATCGCAATCCTCTTCTTATTAGAGACAAATAAAAAAATTTATATATAAGCGATAATCTCTATAAATAGTAAACAAATATTGAAAAATTCATTCACACAAACACAAATAAAAAGCTTATTGTTATCCAATAAAAATAAAAATATGGTGATAAAGATGAAAACATTTTTATAAAAAATAAAAATAAAAAAAATAGTTTTTATATCTTAATCATCTTTACAATTTTATGTTCGCGTCTTCCCAGTAAGTACTCCGAGGATACTTGTGTTGGGAATGGCCCGCTTCTTCCCATATGCATACTCTATGATTAAGTGGGTGAAACTTTTTTTTAAACTATATAATACTAATATAGGATACTAGGGTAGTTACAAGATTTAATGCAAAAAATATACAAAATTACAATATTAACAACTGAAAGTTGTTATTGCCTGTGGAATTTAACTAATATTTCTATGAATAAAGAGAAGGCAAGTTGGGTCTTAGCACATACATATTACGTATGTAATCTTAGCACTAAAACAGACTGATTATAAAACAATATTTAAAAGAATACCTTCAATTTTAGATAAATAATTTTGCTTATCAATATATAACTGTTCATATTGAGCAACATTGAGTCCTGGAGCGATAATTTCTAGTTTATGAACAACAGATTCTAGTTCAGTCACTGCATTCCTTGCTCGTATGTAGCGAAGGCAGAGAGCTGATGCCTGTTCACTTTTGCGCCTTTGTAAAGTTAAGAATCGTTCAACACTCTGAAATAGAATAAGTTAAGAGTGTTACTGTGCCATATAGTAGACTTACTCAATACTCATTTTCCAATTTAAGCAACATAGGTTGCTTCTGTGATTCTATTAATAGTGGAAAGCTTAGTTAGAAAACCTCAAAAAATTATTATTCAACTGTGTTTAATTTAAGTACGCCTCATAGGCTTTAAATAATGAATAAGAATGTTTAGTTATCAAAAAATATTTATTGATATAATTCGTAAAGTTTTTATTATAAAAAAAACAAATAAAAGTGGTTCTATATTATAAGAAAAATATTTTGAATCTATTATCATTTTTATTGCAACTTCTTGCTTGTTGTGGTCTGCTTCGGCAGGTCTGCCGTCGGGACGTCTTGATTCTGTATGTACGCGATCCTGTGGCGTACAATTAAGACAGGGGGAGGTTCCGTTGGGTTTAAGTGGGTTGTACTGACTTTGCTAGCCGGTGAGTCTCACCTGTATGTATGTAGGTGGTATATGTAAATGCATTTCCCAATATATAAACAAAAAAAGAAAAAAAAACGAAAAAAGAGTGTTTTGTTTTCCTCCATCCATTATGGATACACAACTTATTTGTAAAAAAAAATCTTTGTACTTAACATATTCTTAATATTAGTCAAAATACTCACCGTTGTAACACAGAATATTTTATTTTGCGGTAGGTATACGATTCAAATGATGCAGTCAAAGAAAACGTTAAAATTTTAACAAAACTAAATATGCTAAATTGCGCAATTTCCGCATCTGTTGTAGTGAAACCGTGTTTTTCACTATGAAATTTTATCTATATTTTATACGTAATGGTTTAAAATAATTTTATTTAAATTATAATTATGATATCTTGCCATACTTAATTTTCTAAGTGTTAAGCAAAGCTATTTTTTATTTTATATATTTGATTCAAACTTATTGCAACGATGTATAGCGTCATAACATTCGTTAATTACTTACAATTTTTTTACGTTCTTAATATTTTATGTTAAAGTATCTAAGGCAAGAAAAATTGTAAATAAAAAAAAACATTAAAGTTGATGGATGGCTATTAGTTGGATATAATTACATATATCCATCCTATAGCCAAGTGCTGTGACCGAAAAAAACTTGTTCTATTCTTAGTTCTAAAATGCAAATATTTCTGTAAAAATCACGTTTTACTTTATCTTTTTAAAGACGAGATAAATTACAATCATTTACTTGTGTAAGTCTTAATCTTAGAGTATTATAATAATATTAGATTCTTTTGACCATGGTACACATGGCAGTTGTGGTATAGTAGTATAATGTTAAGGGGGCACCGAGCTTTTTATTTTAGTATGATGACAGCGGATAGGGAGGGATGGAAGGGAGGAGGGGCGTAAGATGGACGGTACGCGTGCGAGTTTAGGTATTTCCTTCGTATTATTAAAACAAATAAATATTTTGAAAATATAACGTCTATACCTTATAGAAAACGTATAGTTTTGTTATTATTAAAAAAAAACTGATGAACTTCCTTGAATTATTTACGCCGCACTAAGGGTTTATTTTATTTTTTAGATACCATTTTGGATTTTTTTTCTATCGAGGAAACTACAAGTAACCGTGTTTTTAAAATGTACGATTTATAGGATAAATCTTTAAATATCCTACATATTAATTGCATAGTTATAAATAAAACAATCTTTGCGGTTTTTTTGCGAATTTATTTTCATTTTTGGTTCCCGACGTTTCGTATGCTTTACAGCATCCATGGTCACGGGAGAGACTGAGACATCTAACACCTCAGTCTCTCCCGTGACCATGATGGAACCAAAAATGAAGATAAATTCGCGAAAAAATCCGAAAAGATAGTTTTATTTTATTTAAAATGTCAAGTATTCGCGTAAATCTAAGAAAGTATTATGGATAGTTATAGTTTTAGTAATAACAATACAGCCAGGGATCAAACGAACGCAATTATTAAATAATAGCCTCAGTGCGCCCTTAAGCATAATATAGTATACGAATCGATTCCTACATTAGTTAACGACGATTCAATGTAAGATTAACGTAAAACTAAGAGTTTAATTTTCAAATATCTCGCAATAGTACCTAATATCGCAGTATTAAAATTACCTTATCTGCTATAGGTTTTCCTTTTTTGGAGTAGATAAGTCCAGTGCCAGTGGTCCTTTCATAGTTCTGAAGCGCATCAAAATTCTTTTCAACGTGCTCAAGTTTATCCGCGTATTGTACTTGTACTGCATTAAGTTTTAATTTGATCTATAAAAAGAGATATTTTCGATACATATGTATATGTAATTTTATTAGCTGTCCTTATGAATATATAAAGGATTATTGAAATGTTTATCAATTATTTCAAAATATATTTGTTTTTACATCGACTAAAACAACTATATTCCAAATGTTTCTATTAGTCTGCTTAGATTAGCTAAAACAGTTAAGGAAAGATTGAGAATTAGGCCAGGAGTGACATAGACCGTCCCTTGCGAGAAGAATATGCTGTTTGAAACTTGAAAGTACGAAAATAGAAAGAATAATAATATCATACCTATTAAAATCACAATATGAGTGAGTCAATAAATAAGTTGAGATTAATTTAAGTTAAATTAGTTGAAAAAGTTATATCAGTATGTTAATCTGTGTTCAACTGAACGCTTTGAAGTCATTCACAAGAAACTTGAGTATATCATTAGGTACGTGTACTTCTATATTATATTAGGTGTGTTTCTTTATAATTGCTTGTGTAATTTGAGAATTTTGGTATAATTTTTCATTATATTATCGATAAAACGTATCATCTAATTGGTAAAGAAATAAATAACAAACATATAAAAACTTATAGCAAAGTTACATAAAGTCTAAATTAATTAGCGGCAATACAACCAACTTACATCGGCCATTTCTATTTCTTCCTTTTCTTTTAATTCTTGGAAACTGAACAATTTCTGTTGATATTTTTCTTCTAAATGCGGAGCGTTTTCAAGTGGCTTTAACACATGATCCAATTTTCTTTTTCTGAAAAGGACTGTCGGTATGAAAATATAAAAAAAATATATGGAATATAAGATATATTTTTCACTTACACAGTCAAAGGGATCGTTAATAAAACGAGGTCGAGGTCCGAAAAAATATATTATACACACAGTAAAGATACGTACACCGGGGCTATGAAAAATTTGTATATAATATGTACATATGTAGGCAGTACAAAATACATTTGCTTAAAATAAATTCAAACCTGCAAGCTCTTTAGGGGAACTCAATACACATAAAATGGAGTAAACAGAGTAAAGTTAAACTATATTATGATCATTCTTTCTCAACCCCACATGAGTAATATAAACTAATTTATACTAATATATGTACAATTACATTTTTTTATTTTTCGTAGGCTACATAATCCAAAATAGTAAATTATATTTTATTTCAGGAATAATAATTTTTATATTTTTAGCTTAGTGTTAAATGCATAAACTTATCATTCAAACATACTCATATAACAAAGCTGTAGATGTTTATTAAATATTTTTGATAAAATATTGGTATTTGGGGAATGTGTAAAAGCGTGATAAAAGATAAATATACTAAGTTTAGAATCAACTTATACATACTAACACTAAGTCAAAATACATTTACTCAGTCCTTTTTAAAATCCCACTACTGGGCCCGCCCTCGAATAGTTAGGGGAGAGGGGGGTGTCATAACCCACCACACCACAATTGCGATTTGGCGGATCTAACACGTCTTTTAAAAACTTGTTACGTCTTCTAAGACAAGATCATAGGTATTAGTAAGCTTATACTTACTTATAATATTCAGCAAGACGACGATGGAGTAAGTTGTTTTTTATTTGCAACTGATTGCGATCGAACATCATGTCTCGATAAGCTTGTAAATATTCATCGCGGCTTATAGTAATTTCTCCCGTGGCTACATCCCGCCCTAATTGGCCGCCGGAATCATTTCCGTTCTCTTCACTAACTGTATATATATATATCATTATTTTAAATTACTATTATTATTCGAATGTTTTGCTGTAAGAAATCATGCTGCGCTTATACTGTGTCCTTATGATTCAATATATTTGTGTATTATTATAATGTATCAGATAAAAAAATGAACTAAATTAACTGTATTATGCTCAACCCTTTTTAATATCCCACTGCTAGGTACGGGTCTCCCTTTAATATGAGGGAGATCAGGGCCATAGTCTAACACGCTGGTCATGTGCGGGTTAGGAGACCATGGAGTAGGATATATATTTCGAAAAAGTGCCAAGTTCTCTTAAAAATGCAGGTTTCATCACGATGTTTTCTTTTACCGTAAAGCAAGTGGTAATCATGTTCAAAATGTTTCGCACATGAAAATATCAGAGGTGCGAGAAATCTGAGATTCTGAGAATCTCTTGGTTTCCTAAGTTTAAGTCGAGGCAGTGGTAGCCCAGTGGTAAATAAATGAATATAAAATTTAAAGTACTATATCAAATATCAGTAGACAAGTAAAATTTATAATTTACAAGTAAATAAATATGAATTACGCTTAAAATATAAACATATAAGAATGAAACGCTTTTGCATTATAAGTAAAAATATAATAGATTGTACAATAACATGTAAAGGGAACTGAATTTTAGTTAAAATCACATCGTGTACTTACTATTTATAAAGCTTTTTATTTGTATATTAAGTTTGTAATAATAATATTATGTTTGTAAAATTAATATTGATGTTCTCCTAGCCGATTCCGGCTACGGCGACCAATCTCATTGAGATTAGCCAACTGCGCAGGAGATATTATAGTGCTCAAGTGTACGCGCAGACACAAGTGCACTCTCTATTCCTATCACTCTCATACTCCGGTGGGACGACCACTCGACACGACCAGTGAGAGTTAAGGCGCAGGACCGACGGCTTTACGTGCTCTCCGAGGCACGGGGATGAAACACCGCCAACTTCCCAACTCCGGGCTGTTACTGGGACTTACTATACAGAAAGTCTTTTTTTTTTTTTTATTAGAAATGGGCTCACTCTTGACCTTTATCTTAGCTCGAAGGCACAGATAAGGTCTACGATCTAGCGAGTTTGCCCAGGAGAAGCCTGTTAACACGCACCTTAAATAGGTTCAGGTTATACGCACTCGGAAAAACAGACGCAGGCAGCGCATTCCACATCTTGGCTGTGCGCATTATAAAAGATGACGAATAGCGCTTAGTGCGAGTGGTCGGAATGTCAACCAAGAAAGGATGGTATCCTGCAGTACGTCTGCTGTTCCGATAGAAGAATGGCGATGGCGGTATGAGACTGTGGAGCTCGTGGGCACACTCCCCGAAGTACAGTCTGTAGAAAACCGACAGACAAGCAACTTGGCGACGGTGTGCTAAGCTGTGAAGCTTAGTTTTTCACAAGCTTTTCGTCGCCGATTAGCTTTTTAGCTCTGCGTTCCACCGAGTCAAGAGCGGCTAGTTGGTATTTTGCAGAGCCATCCCATAGGTGACTGCAATACTCCATGCATGATCGGACTTGAGCTTTATATAATGTGAGAAGCTGTCCAGGCGTGAAGTATCGCTTAACCTTGTTAAGGATGCCCAGTTTCTTGGCCGCAGTTTGTGCCTTCGACTCGATGTTGTCGCCAAAGTTAAGATTTGCACTTAGCCTTATGCCGAGAAGCTCTAGACTGTCGGAAATCTCTACAGGTGTACCACGAAAAGTAGAGTCAAGCTGAACGGACTCCTTTTCGCGGAAAATAGACAGGCTTGCGTTTTGGCGGCGTTAAAATCGACAGATTGTCATCACCCCATTGTGAGACAAGACTTAAGGTCGCATTTGTACGCTCTACCATGGCCTCTCTCAAAGTACTTATTAATACCCCTCCGTCCCTTGCACCGGGCACATAGCTCTCTATGACTGTGCTGTCATCTGCATATGCAACAATACCTGTTGAAAGTAGGTCATTGATGTGTAGCAGGAAAAGAGTCGCAGAGAGAACAGACCCCTGAGGAACTCCGGCATCAATAGCCATTAGATCGGAGGAGCAGCCGTCAACGACGACTCTGATCGACCGTTCGGTTAGGAAATCTGATACCCAGTCGCAGAAGTCGGAAGGGATGCCGTAAGCAGGAAGCTTGCTCAGTAGACTTGCGTGCCAAACCCTATCAAACGCCTTCGAGATATCGAGTGAAACTGCTAGAGCTTCACCACGATTTTCGATGGCCTCACCCCAGTACTGTGTGACATACACCAAGAAGGTCCCCTGTAGACCGTCCCCTGCGGAAGCCATATTGATGGTCGCTAAGGAGATCATTAGCTTCAAGGTATGACATCAGCTTTCTGTTAAGTACCCTTTCCATAACTTTACAGAGTATGGAGGTAATGGCGATTGGTCGATAGTTGTAGGGATCGGCACGACTACCCTTCTTTGGTACTGGCTGAACATTGGCAAGCTTCCAAGAATTGGGCACTGTGTGCTAGTTTGGAGAGAGAGGCGATACAAGCGAGTCAGCACAGGAGACAGCTCCGGCGCACAATTCCTTAGGACTTTTGCAGGTATACCGTCAGGTCCACTGGCCTTATTCACGTCAAGATTTTGCAGTATTCTACGGACCTCTTTCGTGTGAATTGCAATCTTGGGCATCGTAGAATCACAGTGGGGAAGAGTTGGTGGATGTTTGGATCCAGCATCTAGACGCGAATTGCTCGCGAACAGAGTTGCAAGTAAATTTGCTTTTCTCTACCGCGGAGTGAGCCAGTGACCCATCTGGTTTCTGCAAGGGAGGTAAAGAGGGACGGCAGAAATTGGACTCGACAGCCTTGGGACAGGGACCAGAATTGCTTACTACCAGGAGGGTAGGAAGCAAGTCTGGCTCCTATACGACTGACATGGTCAAAACGTGCCCTACGGAGAACCCTATTGCAAGATTTGGTAGCAACATTATAAGCTCTTTTCTTCGCACGAACCCTCCGAGCTCTGACTTTGCGATCACGAGCCAAAACCCAGGACCGGTAGGCGGCCTCTTTTCGCGCCCTCAGCACGAGCACAGTCCGCATTATACCAGGGCTTGGCTTTGTGGCCCAGCGGGATGTCGGAGAACGGAATGAAGTATTCCATTCCCTGCCGTATCACATCGACAACCGCATCAGCTGAGCACGAGAGGTCGGTCGAAGAAAAGCACGCTTGCTGCCACGGGAAAGATGCAAAAAATTGCCGCATCTCATCCCAGTCCGCTGACTCGTATCGCCATACTCTCCTCGTGCCCACTGGGCAGTCAACGGAGGAGAGAAGATCGATACGGACTTCACCAGATTGTGATCAGACGATCCCAGAGGGGATGATACCGAAATTGAGTGCCTGTCCAGTTCTGTTGTCAGCAGAAGATCCAAGCATTGCGTGTATGTCCGTCCACATCTGTTCCCGCGTCGCAACTTGGACCAGCTGAGTGAGATCTAGCGATAGCGCAAATTTGCACGCCTCTCTCCCAGCATGGTCAGTGAATTTGTAGGGGAACAACCACTCTTTGTGGTGGGCATTAAAGTCCCAAGAAAAACCAGTTGTGCCGCCGGGTACCGTTTGTTGGGCTTTATCAGCCATCTCAGACAGGTGTTCAAAGAGCCTGGTCGTCTCCTGGGTCTCCGCTGTGCGATCGATAGACACAGGCATAGAGGTAGACTCCACGCCAGTGTCCAACAAAATCCACAAAGTCGAGAATCCTGAACCCTCAAAGCAACGGAGACGCCGACAGCAAATATCGTCACGGATATACACACAGACCCCAGCATGCGATTGAAACTTGTGTTCCAACGTTGTAGCCTGGGTAGTTGAGGTACGCCACGTCAGACGGTGTTGCTATCTGCGTCTCCGTTAAGAAGAAAAGGTGCGGCTTCTCGGTCTCGAGGTGGTGGTGGACCGGGTCGAGATTGGAGTGCAGTCCTCTTATGTTTTATGAGGTGCACTTTCAGTGGGAGGAAGTGCTGCGTTGTTTAAACTTTCTTTTCTTCTTAGCTTTGGTCATAGTGGTTTGGGTGTTTGGTGGGGAAACAGTTAGGAAATCGAGGCGTAACTTAATAAGCCTACAGGACTCCAGAGCTTAGCCAACTGAAGGGAAACTCATTTGGAGACCGCGGGGACGCCCGAGCCCCCCCGAAAATGGCCACCGGGTCCTCCCATCCAGTCGCCAACTGGCACGGTGGAGCACTTCGGGATTTTTCGCGAGTTGGCGGGGCAGCCTTTGGCACGTGGCTGGCGCGCTACTTGGGCCCCCAACTACCTGCGGTCGGCCAACGGCAAGACCGTGCCTCGGATCCCGCTACCCTCCAAGATGAGTTTCCCGGTATAGCTTTACTTTGAAGCCCAGACTAGCAATAAGCAGCGCAACTGATACCTATCCGTTCCCCCAAGGCACTGGTTCTCCCGCTCGCAAACGGAACGCAGCAAGCTGCTTGGCGTCTGATTCCGACGGGAGGGTGGTAGCTTCCAGGCGGCCCCTTGCGAGACCTACCACCGCATAAAAGTGAGACGGCACAGCTAAAGACTCGCAAGCTAGTCTAGAGCAGTGCTTTCTATACTATACTGGGTTACTCGCCTTTTACGAGACGCTTTTCCAGCGGCGGAGGAGAAATGTATTCTAAACCCGTCTCCCCACGGGAAAAAAGTCTCAATAACTAAACTTGGCCCGACCCGGGACTCGAACCCAGGACCTCCGGGTGTGCAGCCGTACATGCTAGCCACTACACCACCGAGGTAATATTATATTTGTAAAGAGATGAGGTGAGGCAATATTATATATGTAAAGATAGTATACTTCTTTAATTTTATATTTTATTTTATGTTCCAAGTAGGCTGTATTTATTTAGAATTATTCTATATAATTTAGTTGTATGTCATGTTTATTGTAAAAGTAAAGACATTTGGATCAATAAACTTTTAAATGTCGTTTCTTTAAAATTTCAGCAACACATTGAAGTTTTATTGATCAATATCGACGTATGAAAGTTGATAAGAAAAATC